CACTAAAGTACCAAAACACAGTCAGGTGTTGCTTTGAAAAAAGAAATATTTGATAAAACCGCTACACTAGTAAGAATGTCATCCAACCTAGGTTATTTCATTAGACTCTTTAGTCACTGAAGGGATAGCTTCCCAGTGTAATGCCAGCTTATGGAACAGCATCTATGTCTCCAGACAAACCAGCTCAGAGGGGGAAATGGTTACCACACTGCCACATTGGCTATTGCAGTGGTTACAGTTAACATATTGCAACAAAATCTGATTTGTCCGATTAGTTTTGGGTCCGACCAAACAGGTTTGTTAGAAGGAAAAAGGACCCAAAGAATCACTATGTAAAATGGCCATTCAGACCACAGGCTCTCCTATTTTAGCGGTCAAAATGTGAAATGTTGTGTCCAGGGGCGCCTGGTAATAGACCACTGTCTGCCCCCATGGCTACAAGACAGTGTCAGGCTAGAGTTCTTATAGAGTCAAATCAGATTCATTCTTTTTCCCTCTGGTGTCTAATCCAGCATTTTCTGCTAGTGGCCTGATACAGATACTGGGTGTCTATGTTTGGTTTTTACGTTTTGGTGGCTTAGATGGTTTGTGGAAAATGAGAGGCTCGCCTTTTTCGGGGAGCCAAACACGCAAGTACATACATCCAACACAAGGCGAGAGTTTTCCATGAGCTATTTTAGTAAACTTACACGATTACTATAAATACTTGCTATTTATTGACAAAACTCTTGTAATCAAGTGATTCTGAACGCACAGTCCATTGGTCAGTGCTCTCCAGGACTCTTTGAAATGCCGAATTCCCTGTAGATTGCTAACTGCTTTCAGATGTCATACTTAATTAAGGTAATAAATTAGATGCACATTTGATGTGAAACTCACTAGCGTGCACTGCCTCACCAGGACTGTACACAAATGTGAACAATTTATTCATTGTAATGTCTTGTTCTGTTACTTTTTTACTGGATGGGTACTGAACAATGCCCTCATTGTGTCCTCAGACAGGCAGGGGATCAGTGCTGAAATGGATCTAGGCTGGTGCTTTGCCTTTTGCTTACTCGCAACCTGACAAAGAGTGTGCTGCTGTAGTAGATGCCCGTGTTTGATGTTGCCTGGCAAATATGACTGTAGATTCAGACGGCCTCTTATTCGTGTTGGTTTTCAGCTTGTGTCTCAGTTGGAAAATACAAAAAAAAAATATTTCCCAAAATGGTCCATTAGATTAAAAAGATTAAGCCAGACAGTTTTAGCAATATGTTTGAAAAATTGAAATGTTTTTTAACTGTTAATAGAACAGCATAAGAACAGAAAGGAAAAAACAACACAAAGTTCTAAGTAAAGTGTTGAGCCACTATGAGCTGCCAGAATAAAATGTACTTCTTCAAATATGCAGCAATTAGTTAATAGTTTGTATGATGATATTTTACATATGCCTGCTGGGCTCTCCTTCAATAAGAAACAGAGCTTGATATGGAATAGATTCTACACGTCTCTGGAACTGTGCTGAAGGGATGGAACATTGTTCTTCCAAAAGAAGTTTGGATGATGGTAGTGGGAGATTACCATCTAATGCATCAGTCCAAAATCTCACATTGGTGTTCAGTTGGGTTGAGATGATTTCCAACTTTATTTGCAGAGGTCCTTCTCATAGTTATAAGTAGTTTACTCTTTAGTTTCTGCTTCTATTTAAACAGCTGCCAGTTTAGCAGTTTTTGTGACTGGTGCTTCTGTCATCCTTGCCCTAATAATGAGCCCTCTTTTAAAGACAGTCTTTTGCCATCTTTATCCAAAATCAGTGTCAACTGTGCTTGTCAAGCATTTTTATACATGCTTCTTAGCATGGTAAGATGTTAATTGCTTAACTGTATGATGAACTACACCCACGTAGAAGCATCTGCACTTATTATGTATCTCTACTAATTACTTCAGGGTTTTCCTTTAATTTGTCACCTGCCTGTACGTTCCTGTATGTTATTTTTGTAGACAGAGACTCCTGTCTTTAATATGTGAGCTGGAATCAATTTGAATTTTGAGTTTTGAATCACATAGAATTGAGATCATGATTTTCACAACTCTACAATTCTTTAACATACCAATTTTGTAAGGCACAGTATGTATATTTACCAAATACGTATATAGAAAAACTTGCAACATGTACAGTAACAGCTCAGAGATTAATATAAGCAACTATTCATAAAGATATTACAAATTTGTAGCCTAAATAAATTGTATACAAATACTAAAATGAAAACCTGCAGCCACGCCAGCCCTTTATTTAAACTTTATTTAGTCCGCTCCATGCTCTGTGTCAATGAACATAACACATCAACAGATGTAGTTATGTTTTAACTAAAGTTTGGGGGCAGGAACATGCCTGAAACCCCTCTTTCTTCCAATCTAACGCCCCATAAATTCACATCCTCACCTTCCATTCCCGTGACGAAGGGTTTGCAGTCCCTCCCGCCACCCCGTCTCTGCCCTTTTCCTCAGTTCTACATCAGTCCTACTACAGCTATGAGGGGGGATCTGGCCTTCAAGCTCCAGGCAGAAGCTGCCCAGAACTCCAGTCCAAGTTCTCAGAGTTCTACCCTCCCTCAATCAGTCCTCCCTCATACTACTGTACCACTGAGTTGAAAGGCATGGTCTGAACTCACAAACACAAATTAGTCAAGCTTATTTTTTCTTTTCAAAGGAAGCAAGCAAGACACGGGTGACAAATGGAAGTATTCCCTCCGTTCCATCCAGTATCTAGGGCTTAGATGTATTCTGTACATGTTTCTAGTGGCATCCAGCACACAGCAAACAACAAAAAGACCTAAAGCTTTAAGTTTGGTGAACACATGTCCTTTCTATGACCACACTGAAAACACAGGGTGCTTTACAAGCAGCAGCGATGCAGTGCTGAAACGTCATAGTTATCTCTTCTGATCTCAGATGCGGACTCAGCATGCTACCGCGGCAGTGCTGCAGTGTACTTGAGTTGAATCGCATTGAGTAATGAATTGAAATCACAGTTTTGATATTTTAGCTCCAGATCTACTCACTGCCTTATCAAGTGTGTTTAATCTGAATGGTAGCTACAGAGACCCGCTGTTGATCTGAACTGTTTTGCTAAGCGTACTAAGCCAAAAACGGGCAGCTGTGAAGCAGCTCATGAAGTTTTAATTAGCGTATATATACCATCCTGTAAAGCACAGATAACCTTAACCCTCTTTTTAGACCTCAAACCTATATTTATGGTCATGGATGTTTCATAGCAGAAGTTGCAGTGCTTCCGATAAGACCACAAGGCTACAGTGTTATCGAGCTGACGCTGCAGGCTCAGTTGGAATTTCCTTGAGCGTCTCTTTATGCATTGTGGATGGGCGCTGCGATAATGCTAAGGCTGTGGTTTTCCAGAGCGCAAAAGTCTGCCGGGTGGTCTTGTCAGATTGATGGGGGGAAACACATGCTCTTTCTCCTAGCACACTTTTCAATGAGAGAAGGAAGTTCACAGACGTTTGCGCACAGACCACTTTTTGTTCAGTGCCTTCAGCCCAATGAGATCAGAGGCCTGAGGCTATATGATAAAACACATGCCTACAATGCCAGGATCTGTCTCACTGCCACTGCAGACGATAGGTTTGAGACTTCGCACAAAAGGCGTAGAAAGGTCACTTACTTTCGCTTTGACGTTTGAGTTATAAACAACTGATAAGAGACAACCGGAAGAATGTGAACTGTGTGCATTTTGTGCAAGCAACAAAGTATTCTGAGCATTCTGTGGTAAAAATTACTACAATTGATATTACTAAGTTGGAAATAATGGCTGCAAACATGGCTGTTACTCACATGTTTGGTTATTGATGCTTGATTTACTATGTCCATTACTAAGTATATGTATGATATAAAAGGATATGTTTGAAATTCATGGATAATCACAAAGGCAACAGCTGATATCCCTATATGTTGTTGACAGATTGTTGCTGAAGGAACCACCTGGCTGAATTCAATTCCTGTCCACCCACGGTTAAAAAATGCTAGGGGGATTTTTGCTATTTCAGACAAACTGTGGACAAATGTTCTCATGCTGTGTGTCCTTCTTGCAAAATAAGTAAACTGTAGTAAAGTCCCCTCTTTTTTGTGCGCATGATAAGGTTTAAATTACTGAAACACATTCAGCTCATGCAAGATCCAGAGGCCCATTTCCTGTGCCGGGTGTTTCAGAGGACAGAATCAGCCCATTCAAATGAGACCTGGCACTGATGTGACTAATAGCTGGCGTAGAGAGTCTGCAGGCTGCTTTACAAAGTACCAGTGTGTTGGTTTTTGTGTGTTTTTGTTAGCCACTAGCTGGGCTGCTGGTCTGGATGGCTTTAGCTTTCACCATTGTGGGAGGGACCACTAATAAAACAAAAATGTCAAAGTTTTGTGCATGTAAATTTCAAGCCTCAAGGTTCAACGCTGCTGTTTGTTGTTGCAGGGAATGCTGAATAATGTGAGCTTTGTTGGTGTGTCTAACAGCAGTGCTGTGTCCCTCTCTAAGGATTTTAGCTTTGTATATGTTTTACGTCAGAGTGGGTTAACTGGAAAATCCAGTGGCTTACCTGTGGAGTAATACGTGGCCACATAATTAAAATCATCCTGCGCGTGACAGAGGCTGAAGGATTGTTTTTACATCCAAATCACAATTTGAAGGGCTGTAATGTTAATTTTGTCCTATATTATAAACAACATTGTCTTTATTTTTTAATGACATGGAGCTTGTGAACTGCTTGGAGATGGGTTAGACCAGTAAGATGCAGCCAAACACCCATGTGCTGTGTATGTGACAACACATCCATAACTATTTTTTAATGTTCAAGCTTCAGAAACAGTGGATGAGCTGATCTCCTTAACCAAAAAAAACTCAATTTACATAATATAATTGCAAAATAAAAGTCTTAAGGTTGCACTTGACTCCTCATTGAATGTTAAAACCAATGTGCAGAATTTCTCTGATATCTTCTGCATCTTATTTTCAGAACCTTCAACATGGAAGAACAGTGCTACTTCAATGAAACCATTGCCTTCTTTTACAATAAAAGTGGGAAGTACCTGGCCACTGAATGGAATACAGTCAGCAAACTTGTGATGGGACTTGGAATTACAGTATGTATCTTTATCATGCTAGCTAACCTGCTAGTGATGGTGGCCATCTACATCAACCGCCGTTTCCATTTCCCCATCTATTATCTAATGGCTAACCTAGCAGCAGCGGACTTTTTTGCTGGACTGGCTTACTTCTATTTGATGTTTAACACGGGGCCCAACACACGACGACTGACTGTCAGCACGTGGTTGCTACGTCAGGGCCTCATTGACACTAGCCTAACAGCCTCCGTTGCTAATCTGCTAGCCATCGCCATTGAGCGGCACATCACAGTCTTCCGTATGCAGCTTCACACCCGCATGAGCAATCGGCGTGTTGTAGTGGTCATCATGATCATCTGGACCATGTCTATCATCATGGGAGCAATCCCCAGCGTGGGCTGGAACTGCATTTGTGCCATTGAAACTTGCTCCAGCATGGCGCCACTCTACAGCAACTCATACCTCGTCTTCTGGGCCATCTTCAACCTGGTGACCTTTGTGGTTATGGTGGTCCTGTATGCTCACATATTCATGTACGTCCGCCAGCGCACCATGAGGATGTCACGGCACAGCTCGGGCCAGCGGCGGAACAGGGACACCATGATGAGCTTGCTGAAGACTGTGGTGATTGTGCTAGGTGAGCATTGTTTTTTTTTTTCATTCTGTTTTTTATCTGCTGTTGAACAGTTTTAATGCACTTATGCCAAAAATACATTTAACATGGAGTTCATGATAGACTTGGGTGAAATTGAACCTGTCCTGTGGTATGGGGAGCTGGTAACCTGCTAGCTAAAATAGTACTAGCATCACATCCAGCAATCCAGTTAGCACTGTTAAACATTTAGCAACTGAGTGATGGTTTAACATTTTTTGAGTGCTAAATTGGAAATTACATTTATTTTTCACTTGTTTATATGAATTGAAATCATACTGAGAATGTGTTTATTTTACAGTTTTTAGATAAATGTGGAACAAACATTTGATTCTGTTGCAAATTTGAAATGCTATTTTCATTTTCAAATACTACAAGATGCAGGGATACTGTATTAGTGTTAAACTCTTGTCCAGCACTTGTCCGTAAAATTGTTGATCTTATGTCTAATATCTCTTCAATATGACCAATTTTGGAAATACTCACTGGGCTTTCCCTGGGTATGAAATTAGGGATTAGAAATCATTTTCCAGGAGTGTTACCATTTGCTTTCTGTTAAAGTGATCCACTAAAACATGTTAAAGTGATCCACTTACATACATGGTACACATACACATTCACCATATTTATAAATCCACCTTTTCGTTCAATGAAAACAGTGGTGAAAGCATGGATCCATGGCCCTGTAAATAAAAGTGTGGCTATGATACATTTTTTATGGGAATAATTTCATGCTAGCATGTGTTTTCAATGAATCAAAAAATATCTGGGAATGTTCAGAAAGTTCAGTACTCTTGATTAAAAAATATGATCCCACTGGTCACTGGGGCACAAAAAATGTACACTATTTCCTCTGGTGTGGCACCTTCAACAAAGACCACTTTTTATAATTCTGCCAATAACGTCAGCTTTATGGAATCAATACAGAGTATTGTTTTTTTTAGTCTCTTTATTGCAATGATGTCACATTGTCATAGGGATTTGTCCTTGGGGTCTATTTATCATCTCTGATGGTGGTTCTCACAGTACATTGTGCTCAGATTTCCATGAATTCCCTTCCTGAGTTGTGCGTTGGCCTTGGCTGTGTCTACAGTAGATAGTTCCCAACTCTGTATCCTCACATTACGTTCTCACCTAATGCCATTTCTGTTCACTTCACTGAGCCATTCATCCATATGTAAGCAGCTACCTTGATATCTCACACCATGAAACAGTATGTTATCCTGTTACGCTGTTGTGCCAACTGGAGTGTTCAAACAATACGGCTGTTGAGTGCTCTACAGCTCAGGGTCTGTCGTCGCGATCTTGTCGCCAGTTCCAGTGTTTGCCTTGCACTGCGTCAGCGTCACGCCCCACCGGCTCCCCGGAGAAAGCCGGGCGCAGAGAAAGGACCCCAGTCATGGAGAAAGGACCCCAGAGCCGCTAGAGCCAGGAGGAAACAGTGCTGTTGTTGTTTCGGAGCTGTGTAGGGCTCAACATGAGGCTCGGGGGAAAGTGGAGAGCAGTGGATCAGGGCAGGAGAGGAACACACACGGTTCTTAGGTAGTGCTGTCACTCCGCAGATAAAACAGCTTTAACACCATTATAGTGCAGCTGTGTGAGAGCATGTTTGTCTCATGGCTGTGAGAACATGTTGTCCACATCAGAGCTGATCAGACATTCTTCATTCAGTTTCCTCAGATATCAGTACATTTCAGGAGCAAATGTGCACAATTTTCCCCTTACCCCAAATCTAGTCGGCCAAGACACGAATGCCTGTTTACTTCCATTTCTTTAATTTTGCACTGGAACTAGGAGGATATTACAGTGAATGTACCTATAACCGAAGCATGCAGTCTCGTGTTGACATCGTTCAAATTTCATGCCTACATCATCACACCCTTACCTCAAACCACATCACTTAAATAGACTTGCATCTGTGGTTTCTGCTTCTCTGTTCTTATCTGTGAAATTGACTAGAGTATATTTCATAGCTAAAAACAGTTGGTTGCACCTATCTTGAAGCTTGAATTTTGTATGTACTTTTGTCCATTTTAGGTCACCTCCATAACTGATATTTTTCATGTATGTATCTGCTGATGTCGATCCAGATACTGAAACATGTAAACAATGTAGATATTGGCATTAGATCGATCTGTATTATGCCTAAAGAGGAATATAACATTTATTTCTGTTGCAAATTCAGTAAAGTTATTTGATTGCAGGAACCTAAACAATCTGCTCTTCCAGATAACAATACATCATCAAATATGGGTTTGAAATATTCATCAAATTTAAACATCTGTCTGATGCTGAGATTTCTGCCAATACTGATATGATTCCAATATAGTAATGCGTTCCTTGGCTTTTTGTCCTCTGGGTATTCTTTTTGTAAAGGTACTTATGAGTACTTATTATTTATCAACATATGATAAATACTAAAGCTTGCTTAAGTAAATAAAATCTCTGTGATGTTCATTAGTTAATATTCAGTTCATACTTTTGAGCGTGCGTCTCTAGATTAGTTCATTTTGCTGATGTGTACATACTATCTTAGAGTTTGGTAGGGTAAATGGTATCATGCTAAAGCCATCTTAGAAGTGATGCACTCCACAGCTTTGTAGCAAAACTGATCATTTCAGGGTGATGTCTTTCCAAGTCCCACATCTGCTACACAGATGAGCAGGCAGGTCCCCAACTCTTGGGAGGCTAAAGCACGGTTGTTCCTGATTTCTCCAGGGAAGCTCTATCAGAGATGGAAAATAACATGGATCTTGGACCGTCTGCATCAAGATTCATAAATAGCACATTCCCAGGGTGTGGGCACCAGTTTACAGTCTAGAGTTTTCAGATTAGTGTAGTGTCATAACTTACTCCCACTCTGAAGATTTTGCACTGCAAAACTTTGGCTGTATAACTGTCACTAGGGCCCAGTGACTATTCAGCGGTTGCAAGTTTGGTTTAGGTAAAAAAAAAAAATTATGTAGAACAGTCCAGTTTAACAGAACTAAATTGGACAACTATTACTCTTCTTTTTATAGGCAAATATAAATCATTGGAAGACATCAGTGCATTCTAGGAATGAGGTGGTATGGAAATTTCATATGATAATTTGAGCAACTGCGGATGGATTTTCGTATTATCACAATATTGATAATATATACTGAAAATGTTTGAAAAGCTTTAAAACAGTTTGAAATTGTTCCACCACAAATATTATACTGATAAACTTTTTGTGGGACCTCTCATATTTCTTTATAACCAAAAAATCAACTACAATGTAAATAAAAATTACCACTAAAAATTAATTAATAAGCATGGCTGTTCTGTTCAGTTTATTACTGTGTGTTGTCTTGAGGCATGCATGGCAGGGAGCCAGGAGCAGTAATTTACATCCACTGTGACTTTTTAAAAAAGCCATTAATCGCACACGGATATTGGTTTTATTACAATTTGGCTTTTCTACCACAGTGTATACCTAAAGCAGGTGATCGTCCCATTCTTACTGCGTTCTTGTTGGGTGGACTGGTGGATGTGTTTATGTTTTTGGCAGCGCTCTCAAAGAAGTCATTTTTGCAAAAATGTCTGCTCAAAATGTATCATCTTGCTGATATATCTAAGAGAACTCCCTCTGTTGAGATACAAAGCTTATTAAAGAAGATATTAGTTGTCCGGAAGGTGCCACACCAGATTCACTCTATGTAGGTTTCACTCATGTTTCCGGACTCAAATACTGCCATTGTCTTGATGTGTTAATTTACTGTTTGATTCAGTGGTGTACTTATATTAGATTATTGATGCAGTTGAATAGGAAGAAATTCTAATAGACGCACTGTTTGATTGGGTTTATTCTAGATTAAGAGACGTGATGTTTTCTTGGTAAAGTTGGGATTATGCTGAGTATGCGCTAACTCAGTTCTAACCAGGCAACCGTAGATCCTTTTCATGATGAACCAGTGGAGCTGTGTCTTGACAATGTAATAATGCCGTCTCTGTTCTTGCATACTTGCTCACTCTTTAAATTTAGCTAGTGAATGAAGAGCTGTCCCATATTCAATACACGACACCATGCTAAAATCTTTGGATTTTGAGAAAAAAAGGTGAACTGGTGAACAATTGCCTCACGCCATTGTCTTCACACCACGGCTGCTTGGCGATGGAGCGGAAAATAGAGGCAGAGGTCATTTGCGATGATCTCACAGCTTGACCCTGTATGTGTTGATATCCGGAGTGAATGAAATCTTGCTTTGACTGTAGCAGCTAAATCCTGAGAAAGGCGGCTTGAGAAACAGTGTCTGAATGGGTAATCCAGAACGACTGTCCATTTGCCAGAGAGTTGAGTCTCAAGTCTGCGTGAAAGCTCGCAAGGCATGTGCTAAGCACTTCCACAGGTATTGGCATCTCAGTGAGGCTCCACTGCACACCTCCCCCACCCCACCCATCCATCTCTCCCCAATCCGCGTCTGCGTACTCCTGAGACAACAGACGTTTGGCCATGTCTGTTGTTAGAGCATCACAAACCTGACTCATATGAAATACTATTTTTTTTCCATTCTGTTCGTAATCAACATTAAAAGGGTCTTGATAGTGCTAGATTAGCTTGAGTCATGTGCTGAATGCTTTTTTTAACATTGATTGCTCAAGATTGTTTTTGGTGATGTGTGCTTTGTGGGAAGTCAGTGGTTTACAAGGCTATTGAGTGTCACTAGAAGCCTTATCAAAATTTAACAATATTTTGTCCTTCATGACAAAACACTGTCCAGTCGAAAGAACTACAGTAACGTGCAGCTCTTAGTTCAACTCTTAGTTCTCTTTTCCACTCAGTTCTATTTTGCAAAAGCCATATAGATTCCTGTGAAAGGTTATTCTGTGTCACCATCAGATGTGTGAGGGGTCTGCAGAAAAACTTGAACATCTTTTACTTCCTGTTTTACGTTTATAAATCTCAGAGTCTGGAAACTTTATATTCCAGAACATACTAAGTCTTTGTTAAGTCAGTAAGGTGGTGTCAAGGTACATGGCACATTTTTACTTGAACCATGAAAGAACCAGCGTTCACCAACACCACAGCAGTATATCACGCCTTGAAGTTGGTGGCCTTTTTCAGTATTAGCGTGAACAGCCGAGTCACTGTGCCAAATTGTGCTAATATACCTTAGCGGAAGTAATAAATTGAAATCTTGCTTGGAGTAAGGGAAAGCTTTGAGCAACCGCCCACTTGAAATACTTTCTCAGCTTGAAAGTAAAAGAGACCATCTGGGAAGGGGAGGGGTGCTTAAATGAAACTAAACAGCCTTTTTCAGTTCTCAGCAGTGTGTTAGCCTGCACGTTACAACATCACGTCATTAGCACTGATCAGCCTTTTTGTTTTTTTAAGATGTTGGTCTAACAGCTTTGTTATTTTCAGAAATCAGTTGCACACATTCATATGCAGTTGACTGGAAAGGTTTTATAGTATGTAGTTTTAATTCAGAATTACATCGTTTTTACTTTAAAGCACAATCAATACTATATTAACCAAGCTCCACCTGCATCTTAATTGCATTCTTAAAGTGTTCAGCTTAATAAACAACGAGAAATCCAAGCATTCACTCAAAAGCACTTATCACTACATCAGTCAGTAGTGTTTCATGTTAAGAGTTAAAGGCTATCATTGCTACAAAAAGCTAGCAGTGAGGCCAAGCATGTTTATTAAAATTAGCTTGTGGTTCACAAGTTAATTTTAATGTTCACACTCAGCTTCGCTGCTAGCTTTTTTGTGGAAAGCTGGCAAATACACACTCAGATTTGGGGAACCTACTGCTGAAACACATCAACTCTATGCTGTCAGATATTAATAGATACTCACCATATGAGCAGTGCATCCTAATTAACTGCTAATGGGGCACATTAAGATTCCTAATTATATTCTGTGAATGATGATTGATATTCAACCTTTCACATGTGCTTTTCTTGTCTTTTTACACTGCTACGTATGCGATGATTTGAAGTAAAGCAATTGGTTATTCATGATTATTTCCTTCACGAAAGCCCATGCTGTTTCTTTTTCTTTAATAATAGGACAGTTGTCTTGTTTTTGGACACATTTTTGGCATTTAATCTGATGTAGCCCTAATGTAGTCTTTTAGAAGTTTCTAGTTCATATTCAATATCTGTTTTTTGCCCATGATAGTGATGTAATATGGTTAATTGATGGAACCCAGAAGTACCAGTGATCGGAACACAACTCCCTTCCCTGTTAAGCTTGTTCGGAAAAGAGCAAAACATGTGGCCGAGTCGTGCTGGAAACGGGTCGTTGGAGTTTATCTAACTCCTGAGAGTCCCTACATGACTTTCAAGTGATGTAAAGCATGCAAGACCAGCTGTGTTCCCTAAAAGAAAAGCAGGCCCTTGCAAGTATCATTCTCTCTTGCAAAATACCATTTGTAGCCAAAATATTTGTCCTTTTTTTTTTTTAACACACTGAGAAACGGCAGTCAAAAAAACGCACGTGTCATTAGTTTGAGAAGCTTTTTCTGAGGTTACATTGATAAAGATGTGAGGTGAATGCTGTGAGTGGCTGTACTGCATGTGCTGAAATGTTTCCTGGAATAATTGGCCTTGGGAAACTTCACTGACACACCTGCATTCCCATCAGTTTTTCATTAAAAGGCCACATAACACAATCCCAGATGCCTCATGTTGTTTAAAAGGGAAGTTGTCCTAAATACTCCATGCAAAAATCCAAGAATATGACTTATTTAATATGTTACTGTGTCAGAAAGAATGGTAGTGGATGTCCATCTCCAATTAATAATAGAAGCTTGAAGTAGAGGTCGATATAAAGAGATATCAGTGTGTACAGTGTGTTTTTTTTAGATTCCTACTGTTGGTTCTAGTAAAGGTTTATGCTTAAAAGGAACAATGCTTGTAAGTGTCTAATTAAGTTTCAAAGTAAACAAAAGAATGGAAAAAATGCCTGATTTTAAATAAAAGTGGACTGATTATAAGGTGTGTATAATTTTGTCCCCAAAAATAGAAATTAGCGATTTCACAAGAAATTGTCATTAAAGGTGGGCATCATGATGCATGCTGATATTTTCATGATGCACAATACAAATCACAATATCACGACCAGGCTGGAATGGACAAAATTCACCAGTAAAACAGTAGTTCCACAAAAACAAACAAACAAACAAACAAAATAAAGAAAACTCTGAGTATAATGATTAAAAAAATAACATTATGAAGATGCATTATTAAAATAATGCCATAAAGGACTGACTGTTGTTTTTTTTTTTTATGATACCTCCAGTTGTTCAGTATTCTAGTATTTACGATATCCATGATATATCCAGAAAAAGTGCATTTGTCACATAACTTATCACAATAAATATACCATATCATCTTGTTGCCTAACCCACATGTTTAATTATTTTAACACCAAAAGCTAAAAGCCTGCACTAAATGTTTGCCTCCATTTTCTGTCATTCCACAGGCGCTTTCATCGTGTGCTGGACACCTGGTTTAGTCCTCCTGTTACTGGACGTTTTCTGCAATGAATGTAACGTTTTGGCGTACGAGAAGTTCTTCCTCCTCCTAGCTGAGTTTAACTCAGCCATGAACCCCATCATATACTCGTACCGGGACAAAGAGATGAGCGTGACGTTCAAGCAGATCCTGTGCTGCCAGCGGCAGGAGAACGTAAACGGTACAGCAGAAGGTTCTGACCGCTCAGCTTCATCCTTTAACCATACGGTCCTCAGCTCACCCCACAATAATGACCACTCAGTGGTCTGAAACGGAATGTAGGAGCAAAGCTGGAACTATCAGGATCAAACCCAGGACTGGAAAGAAGCCCTTCGCTCCTGGAGGCATTTGCATCAGCAATGACTTAATTGTTGGGGGTTATGGAGGGATTTGCTTGTTCATTTTATTTTTGTACATGTTCATTGTTGACACAGTATTTAAGGACTAATCTATGTTACAAAGGTCCAGCCAGTATAGAACACATTTCCCTCATTCCTTTCACAATGCCAGGAGCAGGAGAGAAGGTCTAATGAGTATTTACAAACCTGATCTTTTTTTTTGTCATGAATTTAGATATAGTCGTAGAAACCTGTCAGAATATTAATTATATTTACCTTTTTGCTTATGCTTTTGCACTATAGACATAAGCAGTGCACTCTTGGGACCACTGATGAATGGCCACCAGATATTCTACGAAGGAGATGGGTGTATATCTTATTGGATTTGTGGCATCCTCTACTTTGCACTGCGGTTTCTTCCTGTGCTGTTACACACAGAGCCGAAGCATAAGCGCTAAGCACATTTAGGACAAAGCCAACAGTGTATTAAACATTTCGATATTGGGACCAAGAAAAGTTACAGCAGGTCCCTGTCTCAATAACTTGAATCACTTACAGCTTAAGTGGCTTCATGGATCTTAGGTCTTTCGTCCAAACAGACCACGACAGAATCCACAAGTCACCGTTTAGTCTCTGCTGTGATCCTGATAATGGTGTTCAAAATAACAAACTGATCATTTTTCATGTTGGGACATCTTCCACCTCATATCTAAATAGGTTTTCGACAGTATTTACAGTGTCGTCCCTGTATGGACATGGACCACTTACATATATGAGCCATTTTTTCAGGGAGTCCAAGAACTTTCACCACATTAGAAATCCACAAGTGCCCTGTAGAAGACCTTTATTATATTTTTTGAATATTTTGGATTTTGTGTGATTCTTTTGAGGAACATCCACGTTTCATTGATGAATGAATGACACTTTTGCTAACAGACGTAACACAGAACATATATACTCAAAAATCTTGTAATAATGTTTTGGAGTGTTGATTGAAACAGAGGAGGTTACAGAGTAGGTCACGTGTGGGTTATTGTGTATGTTTAGCATTCAGGGCCGACCGAAAATGCTTTTTCTTCTCGAGTCATGGCAACAAGCACCATGCAGTGTAATCATGTTGGAAAAAACAATGAATTCTTTTCATGACTAGACAACAGAAATTAAATTATCAGTGTAGGAAGTGTATGTATGTATGTATGTATGTATATAGTATATGTATATATTCAATGTTAGTTAAAAAGGGAATGTTTATTTTTAAGGATAAAAATTGGACCGTTTTTATTTTTCTTTCTTTCAGTTGTATTTTGCTTAAAGTTTTACTTAAATTAATTTGAAGTGTTTAACTTTAGGGCCAAACATGTTATTTCCTTTTGATTGACCTAAAATTGTAGACACAACCCTGCTCTGTGCTGGATGGGAATGTCCTTATAAACCTCTGAAGTCGTGTTGTCATTCTGTGTTCGGCATCATGCCCATATTAGGAACTCCATGCTAGTTTTCTCTATGAGAAAATGAAAGCCAAAAAAAAAGATTTTTTTTAAATCCGAAAATTGCTGCTGTCACACCCTGTGGTAAGCAAAAATGTAACAAAGCTTTTTCAGTGGGCAGTTAACTGGTCCTGTACAGGTGGGAGCGGGACAACATGTATGTGTAAAGAAATCCGGCAAATTAGAGAATAATAAATAATAAAATAATAATCATTATATATAAATAATATCTAAAAACAAGTTGTATTCTTATAGGCTACAGAAATGGAGGAGCCTTTAGACAGTCAAACAGCCACAACTGTGAAAAGTGCTTGTAATAAAGACAAATACACAACAAGAAAGCTGGATAAAGACAAGTCTGACATTTGGCAGTCATTTTAATTCATGGCTAATGCATATGAAAACCAGCTATTTGGATCTGCGGGTGGGAGTGGGACAAAACACTTAGGTTGCGGGTGGGAGCGGGACAAATGATGCAGATTTTCAGCATGAGTGGGATGAAATGTGTGAGTGGCGGTGGGAGGTCTCGCACAGACCTCTACTCACAACCTCATAAAAATACCTCACACAAACCAGCCAGCTTTGTAAAAAGATGGTGGTAAAGTTGTGTTGACTGTAGAAGGCTAGAGTTGGAGTAGCTGGTGTTTGTAGTTAACAGGTTTGCAGTTTTACTTGTAGAGAAAATCTGCTTAGATCTGTAGTTCTTAATATGGTCTTGATGGCAAGTACAGAATGATATACTACTTCAGAGGTGTGTTGTGAATGGTTTCAAACACAGTGTGTACTATCATTGGATTCAGTGCAATATTACACTGCATTGTCCTTTCGAGAATGTAGCACTATAATACTCACAATTCTGTTGCTATCTTGTTTGCCTGAAAAACAGCCTAGATAACCTAAACTGAGTTTTCTAATAACTTATTGGTCCACTGTTACCCTGCTGAATAGATTGCCTCCTATAAGCATGGAAAGACCTTGGAAGAGACAATCTAGAACCACAGCTGTGTATGAACTGTCATGGACCACATAGTTAACTCCCTTCAACATTTATAGTTTGACTACATTGTTCATAATGTTTATTTAAAAGAAATTCTGATCTCCTTCAAAAAGCATTCATTTTGTTTTTGTTCCCTTGCTGAAGCCCATTAAATTCTGTATGGTAACATTCATTTAACAATATAATTCAATCAGCGAATCTTCTTAAAATAAACTTGTATGGTATCAAACACTCACTTTGTTATTGTATGAAATGCTTATGGAAATACATTAACTATTAATCAGCGTTTCACATTGCTGAAATTTAACCATAAAGAAAGATTTTTTGGTAACACTTTCTATGAATGTCACCTTCGTAAGCATCTATAAACACATTCATAACATGTTATAATGCATTCATAAGGCATTATAAACGTGGCTATAAACATTTATAAAAATGCATTACATGTTATAGCCATGCTTATTATGCATTATGAATTGTTAACATAATACATTATAAGTATTGATCATAACAAATTATAATAGCTCATAAGTCGTATTTGTCTGCTTTAAGTAAAGTGAAGCGTACTGTACTAAAGCCTCCTCCAGCGTTAAGAGTGAGACTACAAGTTGAAGTATTTACTGAAGGAATTACTGAAACACTAAAACATACACAATAAAGCACATTACAAGCTTCAAATGTCAGATTTTACACTAGAGCTGCCATCAGTGTTTTACCCAACATGGGAAAGTCAGTGTACACCACCGTTAGCTTGGTATTTGTCTTTACGCTCTACAAGCTGGGACTGACTTCATTGGCACTGACAGTATAACATGTTATCGACACTACTTATAATGCATTATATTAACAATTCATAATGTATAATAAACATGGCTATAAAGTGTAATTCATTTTTATAAATGTTTATAATCATGTTTATAATGCCATATGAATGCATTATAACATGTTATGAATGTGTTTATAGATGCTTACAAACGTGGCATTCATAGAAAGCGTTACCGTTTTTTTTATTTTAAAAACAGTGCATTTTGTTATACATGGACAAAATAAGCCTCATCAGAATGTATGTATTACTTTCAATGATTCAGTGACATTATTATGACTGTTTACTTGAACCTGAACATGAAAATCACATGATTTCTGCAGAGTAAATGCAGTTTCCAGTTTAAGTGATGTAGAGCAACAGTGGCTGCATGTTCTAGCCAATGAGTGCAAATATCATATACAGAGTTGTATGCAAGGTTTGGGCACCTCGGTCAAATTATATGTTATGTTGATTTTCTAAGTAAAAGTAAGTTAACACTTCCACCGCAGAGAACACACTTGTACAAAATGTAATGATTTTACAATTATTGTTTATTTGCACATTTAAACATATTGGAAAAAAATGAACATAAAATGTGCCCTGTGCAAAAGTTATGGCACTTTTTATCTTTAGAAAAATGCTGTTATGTGGATGTGTTAACTTATTTTCAGGCAACTTAGTGACTTCATGCTCTCGTTCTCATTCATACAACTCGTATGTTCTTGTTGTAGTAGAGGCTCTTAGGGGAGCTGGAGCTTTCCACTTTGCTGTTGCTTTTGATTTAGTTGTTTTAGTTTACTGCTCATGGGTTTATCCTTAGGTCTCTTGCATAGTTCTCTTACAGTCTTACAACGCTGTCCCAGCACATTCCTCTTAAAAAAAAATAATAAATGTGTATCTCTTTACTGATGGTTCAAAAAAGTCAGACTATGAAACTGCATTTAAAAATTATGAGCATCCATTTATCATGACATATTTACACACTGTAAAGGGAAGCTGGCCTTTTGAGTTACTAAGTGTTGGTATGACAGCGACAATATTGAGTGATATTCAGTTTATAATTATAAATGCATATAATCATGTCTTTTTTCAGACCTACAGAAAGGCAGTGTTTAACTGCCACTTCATTTCACAGCCCATAGATGACATATTTAGGCCACACGTCCAGTTCATCCCTCAAGAGATGGGCCATGACAATGAAAACAGTTTTCCAGTTTTTCCTCCAGACTGACAGGAAGTTCCTGTGTCCAGAGCAGACGCGGACTGCTGAGTGAGAGGGATATCACGCTATCAGTAAAACCACTGCTTTTCCAAGAGGGATTCACACATACGCTTAAAAGAAGTATCCCTCTGTGTCATTTTCTATAGGAAACATGCTGAACATTTTGGGAACAGTCATGAAAATGTGTGGTATGTGAAATGTAGAGCGTGTGAGATTGCGAAGACAATCGGAGCTCAGTCTGTCCGGTGCAGATAGCCAAGTTCCTAAACCGGAGCAGCTGGAGCCAGCATTCCACTGCGTTTGCGTTGCTCTTGAGTAATGTCTGATATTGAACATGGAATTCTTTGACAACTTATGGGGGATATCCATGTTTCCTGTCGTTTCCAGGCTTTATTAGAGGGCTGCACTCTGCATTCAAAGGCCAAGAAAGTCTTTTGGCTTGTCAGACAGTTGAGTTCTTTATAATGAGTACTTTAATGATCCAAATCACACTTATAATAGAAGTCAGTAGGCTGATCCTGAAGCTACTTTAAGGGAGTACTCCAGCGTCTTTCAACCTAATCTCTGTCTGGCATTTCTGTTTCGTAGAGTTCGGTACCATGGTCAAAAGTTTTGACGTGTTTCTTGAAAGACAAAAAAAAGAAATAGAAAAACTATTGACTCAAAAACACTTACAATAGAAACCAATGGTTAGTTACTGTGATACAAATATGGCAGATCTAAATCAGGTTGAAAGCATCTGGAGTATTCCTTTAACATCTTTACCTCCATAATTAGGATCTACCTCACGCCCAGGGTGAGCAATATGCTAAAAAACGAAAATGAAAAAGAAAAATCACGACTTTAACTTTCTAACATTTGATAAGTTGCAGAACAGCACAAAACCAAAATAATACGCCAAAATCCAACATATTTTGTATTCTTTTTCTGAGTGCCATGTAATATTTTATGGGCTTATTACAGTAGAATTAATCAATTAATTTTTACTTTACCATTTTCTAACCTCTCTTTATCCCTGTCTTTGCATCTTTAAGACTGATATATGTAAATACCCTCTGTTCTGATTGGCTGCCCTGTATTGTGCCTCATTCAAAAAGCATTCCAGGCTGAAACACTCCTTATAACTTTAACAAGACTCGAGCTGAACTGCTGTAGGCTGAATGTGCAGACATCTGACATCACAAGACCAATGAGTTTAAAATGAACTGTTTTTGGAGCTTATCTTCCGTATTTGAACTGAATGGAAGTGTTTTGGTTCAACATATACAGACTACATTAAACTCATTTAAAAAGTTGAGGAAAATGGGTTTTTCATGTCATGGTCCCTTTAAAAAATATAAAAAAAAGGTTTTTTTTGCATATTGTATATACTGAACTGCACAACATCCAGTTAAACTGTGAAATATGCTCTGTTTGTAATGAAACATTGTTAAGTACTGATGAAATCTGTGATATGCTCAGAAAAACATATTGTGAAGTATCATGACATTTATCACGATAATGAAAAGTATCATCGAGCTCTTGCACAGATTATAGTGACCCAGAGGTTCCCAGCTGTTCAGAGCTGTAAGGATGGCCAGCTGTGCGTTCCTGTGTCTATTATGGAAGGGATAATATTTAAAGTCTTTCCAATAAATACTACTCAAAAACTGCTTCTAATACAAATGCAAAGGAGCCTAAGAACACGGACCATGAGGAGGTCAAACATTAAGAGGCCTAGAGAGACAATATTGTGGTTTATCTTGCCAAATAGAGATTAAGGTTGAGTTACAGTCTTAATCACTGAGCAAAGTATTACTAAGATGGCTCAGTCAGTGTTTACTTTGGGCAGGTTTAGTCAGCATGTTTACGTGTGACTCAGGGCTACAGAGTTTATATGAGCGGAGGAGGCAGATGCTGCTGGACCTCAAGTCCTCGATGGCCACAAACAGTTTAGAAAAGCAGGAGGAGTCAGCCGTGCACTTTTCAACAGCTCCAGCGCACCAAAGCCAAAATAGTCCTTCATATCTAGACTGGAGTAGGCAGTATTATGACAGGGCGATTTACTATAGGAAGCCTCTAGTTGATGGTTCCTCCCTTCTCTGTTGTGGTAGAGCGTCAATGGGGAAAAGATGACTCCCCTTTTTCTTTGGAACAAGCTGATTTTTTTGGTTAAAACCACGGCGTAACGTGGGTCAGGGAGAGTTGAACGTTTCGCCTGAGTGCTCTAAGCCCCAGTTTTACCTCCTGCACGCCTCGAGTGTGCTGAGTGTGTTTTTTCTGGCCTGTTGTGGGGACGCCTGCGGTCTGCACTGCTTTGCTGCTCAGGGTTTCTTTAACTGGTGGCACAGATGAGCCCTTTTTAACATCATCAGAGGAGCAGGTTGGAACATGGCTGAGAAAGTCAATAGCCCTCTCTCTTTTTAAACAGTGTTTAAACACCCCATTTTACTGTCGGCTGAGGGAGTCAATGTTGTCCTAGCTCACTCAGTGTCCATAGTTAAAAAGAGGTAACCCAATGCTTGATGGAGCAGTCTGAATCTTTTGACAGAGTGCTGCCCCCTACCTGTTATTCTGAGCAGCTCACACTGAATGTGCAAGAAAAGATGAAGACAGAAAACAGGGTGCTGTCCAGGGACAGTTTAGTCCCCCAAGCAATGTAAGTGAACTGTCAAAAGTCCAACATGGGTCCATACAGAAATCTGATATATGGCATTATATGGATTTCAAATATATGACATATTATCATATATGGATTTCCCTTTTATGCATTTTATTTTTGACACATATGGACATATATGTGCCACATGGGACACATATTTTAGCCATACATCACCACATACACACATATATGTGTAATACATATTTAACAATATATGATATATGATAGAAAACATTATTCATATATGGATGATTTTACTCATACTTACTAGCTTCATGTTATATTTATATTTTTCATGTTATGTAGGTTGTTATGCATCTTCTCTAATAAAATCATTAAAACATGAAGTAATGTTCCCTGACGTATTTAAATTATGTAATATTTAAAATCAAACAGATAACTTATAAACAGTAATAACTGTACTGCAATGTGTTCACTCACCCATCAGACATAGATCCATATATTTTGCATATATGTCCAACATATTGGAAGATTTCAGTGCAATTTATTTGGTTTTCAATAGAATGAAATTCTCTTTGGATCAACGTAAACAAATTTCATTCACTGAAAAGTACTTTCATTCATTTTTGTCCATGTTATGGGAACCAATTACTTAATGTCAATATATTTTCAGTTTGTAAGTCAACCTCACTGATTCCTCCTTTTAAATGTATAAGTACACAACATAGATATACATATATTTTGAAATACATGCTTGGCCCTTCATGAAATATGGGCATATATGGTCATGTATCAGTATATTTCTGTATGAGGGTCCACTTGTGTGCATTAAGTGAGATTGAAAAGTTCACTATATTCAATTTCCCAAACAGCTGTAGGCAAAAATATGAATAACCCCAATCAAATTACGTTTTATTTGATTTTTAGAGATAACACACCTAAATATGGCATTTTTTCAGCAATTTTTAGTGATATATATATATATTAGGGGTGCGGGAAAAAAACGATTCTTAGATGCATCGCGATGCGGACGTGAACGATTCTGAATCGATTCACAAATGTCAAAAATCGGTTTTCCAAATATTTAATTTATAACGTAATGTTGACGGAACGCAAAAGGCGGAACTTGGAAGTGCGGAAGTGCAGCGCCCGGACAGTCTGTGATGGCACATAACAAAAACACAACTGGATGAGTGAGAAATCCGACCGGCTCCCTCTGCATTAAAGCCAAGTCAGGTCAGGAGTCACAACACAAATGTTAACATTTTGTCCTTTCAGCAAAAGTCAGACCACCTTGGGAGCCGCAACCTTTACTGTCCAGTATGTCTCAGTATGTGATGATGTCCTAGTTTAGGCTATACAATATAAACGAAAACGTAGATTTACTTCGCTCTGCTTTAAGTTTCGCCTATAGCCGCTTTCCTCCCATCTCCGCCAGAAAACTTTTCCTCAGAAGTTGATCAGTTAAGTGTCTCTCAAAGTTTGACTGTTTTACGAGGCTGAAGTCGCTTCTTATTCTCCAGCTTCTTGTTCGAATTTACCCGTTCCACCTTAAATTCTAACTGAGGCGCCGAATGAAAACGCGGCACCATTTAAGGTGGAACGGGAGAATTCGAAAGAGAAGCTGACTTCAGCTTCGCCACTTTTTAGTGTGTGACAGTCTCTCGTTGCAGATCTAACGTACCAGGAAACCAACTGCGCTGCTTATAAATGTGAATAACGCATCGCTGCTATGTGACCTGCAGTCTGCACGGAAATTCTCAGTCATTGCGAAACAGGGCTTTCGTGCTATGTTTCACACGTCCCTTCTCAAAGATACTTTACTGACACAGCGATCCCCCCGTCTCTACAACGAGACCAAAACCGAAGTTCTAAAATCACTAAAGAAAACGGGTAGAATAGCTGTAACGTGCTGCGTGGACATGCATCACCACTGGATCTTATTTCACCGTAACTGCGCATTTTATTGCAGATGAGTAGCAGCAGCTTCTCGTGCTCCAAACAAGAGCAGTGAATGAGAGCCGTCTAGTTTACTTGCCGCATCACTTCCATTTGATTTATTAATAAGAGATATTGGAAGTAAATTCATTATGGATCATTACAAATACTTTGCTTTAAAAGTAACAAGTCACTTTAAATAACAATAACACCGAGTCACTTAGTCACTTTAAAATGTATATTGTCTGTATATTCTGTGTATATTTTGTGTATATTTTGTGTATATTTAATATATTTCAGTTGGTTTTTCTTGTATTTTTATTTTTACTTATTTACCTTCTGTAGAGTGATTAGCTGAGCCTCACCACAAGCATTTCAATGCATAAATGTCCTGATATGTTGTGCAAATGACAAATAAACTTGAAACTTGAACTTGAAACTTGAGCTCACACAGTGAGAAAATATAAATGCTATATAGAAAAAAAAGATGCATCGAGATGCATCAATAATCGTTTTATAATCGCATCGCAGCCCTCTGAATCGTAATCGAATCGAATCACGAGGTGCCTAGAGATTCCCACCCCTAATATATATATATATATATATAACTAAAAATTATGGTGCAATTATGTTCCCTAACTAAAAATATTGAAGATGAAGACAAGCCATAGAGTGACAGTTTGTACCCTGAGAGCATGGATCCCATGAAATAAGAAATGGAATGCATGTGTACAGTGGCTTTATTTCACATAAATATTCATGGTAGTATACACAGGTGTGGAATTTGTGATGCTATTCTTGTTTAAACCTTACTGATTCTACTTAAAGCAGATGTATTAAATCTTTTGCTTAACCAACACAGATATTAAGAACCCATTTATGTTTAATCACTGAATCTTTGGATCAGCTGCTCATTTAAAGCACTACATAGAAACTGAAGTAGGAAATCGTACATAGTGCTCACAATGTGGCCATTTTGTCCTGAAATCTCTTATAATGGCTTTACATTTTTTTACTTAAACGATTAGACCTTCGTAATGAGCCCCTAAGGTGACATGGTGATTATCACAGCTCTCAGAAATGTATAGCAGGGGTTCATGACTCGAGTCCCAACTGCAAATAGGCCTATATGAAAATGATACATACAGCAATCATCATAATGTGGAGTTTTTATTTTTCAATTACTTTAGTGTACATATTGTAGAAGTACAACCACCTACACAGTGCAGTAATTTTAAAATAACATTGAGAATATAGTTTGGTTGGCTTTAAACATGTATAAAACAATATGTTAATGTGTTAATACTGTAAACTGTGATGAAAGGTTAGTACGTTTTTGTATTGCACATGCCGAGCCAGGGGATTTTTCTGTGAGTTTCCACAAATTTTATATATTTTTTAAATTAAAACATCCAACCGAATTCACAGTTTGTGCCACTCACACCTATGGTAATTTGTAATGACCAGTACGACCAGTTCCTCTGTGCTTTTTCACCCCTGCTATGTGTTTATGCAATACAAACATGTTTATTATAGAGATGCACAAGAATTTTACATGTGATAAATGGATGAAATCAATGAATGAATCAATGAAAAATATATGTATGTACTTTGGAAAATTATACTTATATCTAAATTACTGTACTATGCACAATAAGATTGCATTTTTTATTCAGTTGAATGTATATATATATATATATATATATATATATATATATATATATATATATATATATGTTGTTAGCTATTATTTTAAGTAAAAAATAATAATAACAAGTAGACATAAGTTGTCTATTAGTCAGGAAAAAAGATCAAACACAAACATTAGTAAAGTGATGCTGTGCCAACTTGGAATATGCTACTCTATTCAAACAATACTGCAGTGACAGCGAGATGCAGCATCAAGCATTCTGTGTGCTCCACTTGACCTTTCCTGTTAATCGATAAATATGCAGGACCTCAATAATGATGTCAAATATGCACTCCAAAAACAACAGTTCTTAGAAAAATGTAAAAATGTTCATCAATCTGGGCTGCGTTCGCTTACTTATGAGCCACCATGAGCATGTCCTTTAACCATGATGAGTTGAAGAGAATGTCTGATGCTCCTGATGCTGTGCTTGCATCCATCATTTTCTTTGGAAATGTCAATGGCGTACTTTTGACCTACGTCTAGTACAGCTGCACTTTGGTTGTCTCCCATCGATGGTCTGCTTCAGTCTCATATAACTGGATCCCCACATTCTGACTTGACCAGGACTTCAGTACGCAAAGCAGTTACCTTCAGATGGGTCAAAGTCTGAAGATTCCTTAGAGCTCCTCCATGATTTAAGGTTCATCGCTGCTTCTCGTGGTTCTTCAGGGTCCATGTGGAGAACCACCTAACTTGAATTAATGGAGAGGTTGAGCAAAAAATCTAAATGTACACCGTTTTCTTATCCTTTTGAAGTCAATCAACTGACTGTGTCAGCTTATGTTTGGTTTCTTTACTTTTGTGGTGAAGCTGCAAGGCTAATGTAGCTAACAAGAAAGCGTATACCTTAGTAATTAGTAGACTTGCATATGTGGTTTCTAACACTGTATGACACACTGTAATCTACAAAAGTGAGCAAAAGTATGGACAAAACTCAGACTGTTACTATTGTTTTTATGCAATGTACCTCTTGCTAAACTATTCCTTTAAGATGAACGGCTAGCATTAAAAAGCTGAAGCTAGCACTGACTTTTTTCTAGTTTTTTCTACTTTAGGTAGTTTGCCTATGTATTCTTTGACCTCCATCAGCAGTGCCCCAGGCTGTTGACCTCAAAAGGGTCAAAGTCTAAAGATTCTTCAGAGCTCCTCCATGATTGTTCTGGATTTTCACAAGGTTCTCCACTGCTACTCACAGTTCTTCAGACTTGGAGTGGCTCAGGCCATGCTGGAGTGGAGCATCTGGCAGTGCATCCTCTCCAGGATGCGGTGGATGCTGGCGAAGCTGGGCCGGTCACTGGGGTGGCGGCTCCAGCACAGGCGCATCAGGTTGTAGAGTTCCAGCGGACAGTTCTCGGGGCAGGCCAGCACATGGCCATCCCTAACGTAGTAGATGACCTCCTCGTGGGCCATGCCGTAATAAGGTTGCATGCCGTGTGAGAAAATCTCCCACAGAACTACTCCGTAGGCCCACACGTCCGACTCGCTGGTGTAGCGGTTGTAGAAGATGGACTCCGGGGGCATCCATCGAATTGGGATGGCATCATTTTCGCTGGCCTTGTAGTAATCGGCAGCGTAGATGTTTCGTGACAGGCCGAAATCGGCGATCTTCACCACTAAGTCCTCGCCCACCAGACAGTTCCGCGTGGCCAAGTCGCGGTGCACAAATTTCCGCTCGGACAGGTAGGCCATGCCTGCGGCCACCTGCTTGGAGATGGAGAGCTGCTCCAGGCAGCTGAGGGGTGATAGTTCTGATTCGGAGACTACACTTTGGCCTGTCAGGGTTCCTTGGCTCAGGCTGCGCTGCTGGGCTGGGGAACACCTCCGCAGATACTCGTTCAAATCCCCATGGGCCATGTACTCAAACATCAGGCACATGGGCTTCCCCACAGCACAGACCCCTGTAGGAAAACCAACACAGGTGTTGTTAATGTATGATCTCTCAATTATTCAGCTTGATCATAAATGAAACAACTGGTGCTGCGAACCCATAAGCAACTCTACAGACAAGCTTCGAGAATATGTTAATATTATTTATAATGTAGTAGCAAATATTTTTATGTTAATTAAATGTCTTATTAACTATTTCTGGACATTTTCCATCAATTTGCTCTTTGAAAAAAGGGACCATCGCTCATTTCATCACTATGCTTAAGGTCTGTTGCGGTGCATTTTCAAGTGCTAACCAGAACCAGACTCAAGAAATTAAACTGTTTAAATTGTTTTGGATTTTTTATATTTCTTTATTTTTTTTTAAATCCTGGCATTAGCATAGCTTGTTAACCTAGGGAAAAAATGCTATGATTGCAGTCTGGTGGAAAGTTCCTAGCTAACATGTTTGTTTATTACTCTAAATAAATATTAAAAAGTAAAGACTAGTACATTATTGTTGCATAGTAGCTCAGATCTGTACTGTAATATCACTGTGCTTACATTTAAAAAATTATGTGTTTAGATACTGTAGTCTTTGACCAATACCTGTTGCTTTTACATATACTTAAAAGGCAAGCTCTGCATAAAGAAATGTACCATGAAATATAGCATTTTTTAACATTTTTGTGTAAATAACCCAAGGATTTTATTATTTGGCTAAAAATTACTCCATATTTTATTTAATATTATCACAGGTCTAATCAGCTACAATCAGTTCTAACTTTCCAAATCAGTGCAGTTGAATAAGCACTGTGAGATCAGTGCTTCATGATGTACCCCTAGAAAACATACAATCAGAAGCAGCTCAGCTACATTTCCAGAATTAATCCCCTCACCAAAAATACCCTCTGTGACTCTTAGGCTAATGCTAATGCTATGAGGCATGAAGCATTATTCCAGCATGCTATAGATCTTGCTGCTGTCCTCAGCAGGCGTTGGGGTCAACCCTGAAATGAACATGTAGATCTATTTTAGTTTTTTCTGTTGTCACACCCTTGAGAGAAGGACACAGGAGACCATTTTGAGAAATGCCTCTAAGGCCGCCATGCGCTTAAAAAAGCTGAAAATCACGTCTGAGATGATGCATAAAAGTTAATTTTAAGTATTTCATTATGACAAGTTAACAAGTATACAGAGAATCTATTTCCATTCTTGCGACTTTATCAAATGTGTTACACCGCAGTGGCACATACCCAGGAGCCGGACAATGTTGGGGTGATCAAACTCTGCCATGAGAGCAGCTTCTCTCTGGAAGTCATTCTGCATATCAGCTGAGGCCTCCTCCTTCAGCATCTTCACTGCTACCATAGTGAAGGGCTCATGTGGTAGTAAGCCAGGAGCTCTGCACACAATCACCACATTTCAGATAAGGAGAGACTTTACAGAATTTTCCCTCTTATCCTAAATGTAGTTAATCAACCAAGACATGTTTGGTGAACATGAAATTTACTCCTTTAGTTTTGCACTCCAGCTACAAGGCTAATATAGCTAACAGGAAACAGGCGATCATCCTTACGTTCCCAGCGCCCTTTATATTCTTAATGCAATGTCTAGGACAATGTTTCCTAACCTGGTCCTCGGGGCCCTCCAGATAGTCCATATTTTTCCTTCATCCCATTGTGTTGTAAATTAGGTTGGAGCAAAAATGTGGACCGTCTGGGGGTCCTAAGGATTGAGTTGGGAAACACTGCTCTAGAAAACAGGCCTATGTTTCCAGACCCAATGTTCCCCAGGTCCTGTGTTCCCTCTTTGTAATTTTGGAAATATCCCTCTATTCCCAGGGCCCTATGTTCCCTCAATCAGTTGTTCTAGGAAACAACTTTTATGTTTCCATGACCCTGTGTTTCAACCCAAAGTTGCCTCCATCATGTTTCCTCAAGTTCTTCAGGAGCAGAACTTGCCCAGATGTCACTGTGATCTGATGCAACACTGAAGACACTTGATTTGCTAATTTCAAACTGGGCTTAATGTAGTAATCTGCTCCATCTATCGTCCATCACTTTTATTACTTTGCTCTGCTAACTTGCTAGTAAGCAAGGTAAGTGCTACACAACTACAACAAAAAGAAGGGTAATGCACCTTGGCTAAACTAGACAAAGGATTTATTTGAAAAGTTAATGTATTTTACATCCTTGATATATTCTGTATCCCCAAGACCTTAACCAGGACCTTAGAAAGCCTTTTATAGGTTTCCTTAATGTATCATATTGAAGCATGAGGTGGCATATAAACACGCTATGGCAAAACAGAGCCCTTGGAACATAGGGCCTTGAGAATTTAGGTACGCTCCAAGCAAAGGCTGTAACCTACCCATTAGTATCATTCACAGCATACCTAAATCATCACACACTTTCCCTCAAACAGCATTGAGCTATTAAGTAATCTTGTATAGATTAGCATCTGTAGCATGCTTGTTGCTAATTTATGCGACTTTTCCCTTTTTAGCTTTTCACCAAACTACTTCCAAGTAGCATTTAAAGGCTCAAATAGCAGCCGTTGTTTTTTGGTCTGCTTTTGGTGGTTTGCTAAAATTTTTTTGGCTTGTATCAGCAGTGTAGCAATCACAACTTTCCTAGGTTTTTAGCTCTCCTAGAACTTTGTAGTACCACAAATGTGAGTAGAGTAGTCATGCGAGGAGCTGTTTGGTTCAGCCTCCTTATCACGAAGTGGTTGAATTGATGTGCTGAAACAATGCAGGCCAGCGTTCTTGGCCACAACAGTGCTTTACGATCCTGTGGCTAGAGGGTTTATCTTAGAGTGCACGCAGACCTGCGCTGGTGGGCTGCTAGCATACACATTCTGGGCTGTAATGGTAAACAGACATGCTGTGTTACTCTTTTGTCCCATGATTCGACAGGCAGCACTCCTCAAACTTACCCAGGGGTAGGGATAGCATAGCCCAGGGGTAGAGATATTGCTGTATTGATTGATAGCGATATTGCTTCAATATTTTTCTTTAAAAAACTACTAATCTTTAAAAAAGTTAAGAATGAATAATTACATTATGACTTTTTATCCCATAATTTTAAGAAAAATATAACTTTCAGTGAAAATGTTTGCAAATTTAGACTATTTAAAGTAAAGGCCTTCTAATTCTAGTACAATGCTAAAGGTGTTCTTGTGTTATCTTTAGGTTACATATGGCTGCTGTTGTTTTCATGTGACTTGTTCTCAATTCACTTTACGTAATGTTGTGCTATGAGCAGTTCTGTAATTTTTCAGGCTAGATTTGTTATAGAATCGGGCTGGATTTGTTCTTTTTTTGCCCTTCAATCTCCAATCCAGCATTTTCTGCTGGTAGGGGCCCGATCCCATCATAAAAGGAGATCAAAACATTGGTCTCAGATGAGGACGAAAGGTCAATTCCTACAAACACCATTATGGCAGGCGTTCAGGAGCGGACTTAGCATGGCATTAAAAGTGCACTTCCTGTGCTGGAGACTCCTGAATGTTCCTGGAGAAGGTAAACACTGGCGAGGCCTCTATAAATAGTGCCCAGAGCTGCGCCTGCTGACACAGTAGCGTCTGCTGGGGAAGTTTCACATTGAAACCCGTATGATGCCCGCTATAGCCTCATCTCTCTCCTATTTCAGGCTCAGTCCGTGTGAGTTAGACACCCCACACTGCTGCTGTTCCCAGGAGTCTCCATGTACCGCCTGGATGCTTTCCTATTGCAGTCAGATTACATGGCCATGGATTATGCGAACAGCAGTTGATGCGCTGCATGCATGTGTATATGTGTCATTTCCACACAGGACGACTCACAGTTGCTACAAGAGCGTATTTTTCATGCAGGCTTAGCCAAAGCCCCAGCTTATTGATGAAAATGCGCAAAAATAAAAAGTTTAGCATCAAAGAATAAAATTAAATCTTCACTATGCTGTTTTTGGAGTTAAACCAAATAGCATATTTGGGCCATCTGCTTTGCTTTTTTTGCTCATTTGCCCAAGTATTGTGATTTATCAAGACTCCTAAACCTATTCCTACATTTAAGTATATCTGAAGGGCAGCATTTATAAGGGTACACAATTCCTACTTAAGCCTTTCATAACAACTGACACATGAAACATACTTAATTATTTATAACAGCTAATGGTAACAATGCCAGATTTCGGTAAAAGCTGCTTTTGTCCATGTTGATGTCATTTAATCTAAGCACATGTTAAGACAACTGATGCTTGTTGGGAAAAGCCCGTAAAAATGTCTATATAGGTTGATATCAGTTATCATTAATGGCTGATGTTGTCGTCGTATAACCTTATAAACACTGCCCTTGATTAGAGTGTTATATTTTATATGAATTTAAAATTTTGTTATGATTAGAATTTGATGAGAATCTATCCTTTACATTTTTGCTGTGTTTTCGCCATTTTTTTGGTTTCAAGACAAACAGATAAAAGTTAGAAATGGAGACCCAGCCCCCAGCCCCTTCTATTGCAGGTATTCACAAAGCAGAAACATGAGATTAGCTCTCACATTAACCTTCTGTTAATCTGGCCAGAGCATGACTGGTCACTTTTTAGGGACAGAAGTGCTGTGTAGACATGACATGGCACTCCGTCTCACCTTGCCTGAAACACCCTGCCGAAGGCCCCCTCTCCGATATCCCTCACGTATTCGATGTTGTTGCGTGGGTACTCCAGCGTCAGCAGCTTAGAGTTGAGCAGGAGGGGCAGGCGCTGGTACATGGGGTTGGGGTGCAGTCTGTCCAGTAGTAGTTCAGAAGGTAGGGCAGTGAGGGTAGGGGTCTCCATGGCCCTGCTGAGGCCAAAGCACACATTACAAGCTTAAAGAGGAAAAGAAACCCTGCATACTGACTTGAGAAGTGATACTTATGAGCTGCAATTATTATTATTATTATTATTATTATTATTATTCATTAGGGTTGTAAAAATGCATTGATGAATTGTAATGCATCTATCCAAACGGCACTGATTTTGAAATAAATTGTATGTGTGTGTGTGTGTGTTTGTGAGGGTGTACAACATGGACAGGCTGCTGACTGGCTACAGCTGCTAATGGAGAACCCTACGCTGGCCACTTGTGATATTTTAAACATTTGGTACTTTTACATTAATTGTTGTGGCTGTATTGATGAAAAAACAATGAAGCGGTGGGCCCACCAGACCACTGAGTAACAAAAACATGAACACCACACAAGGGTTAAGACCATAACATATTAGTTTTACGGAGTATATGCAAGCTAAGGCCTGTCTGACATTGGTATATTGCATATTCTTGATTTTTACCTTATTCCATACAGATGAATATTTCCTCATCAATAAATCATCAGTAATAGTCATATAGTCATAATATTCTACACAAAGCATGACTTTTGTCTGCCCCCCCCCCAACAAAAAAAAAACATTTACCCACCTTTTCCGACGCTTCCACATTTTCTTCCTCTTGTGACACATGAGGATGAGTATGGTGAGGAAGGCTACACCTGCAAAGCCTGCGATGATGAATATGATGACGCTCATGTAGTAGGCAGTGGAGACGGGAGAAACCGGGTTTGGAGGGGCCGATTTAGGAGCAGACGCTGCTCTCACGCTTGTCACTGCTGAGAAAGGAAAAATGGTTTTGAAAATAACTGATATTGGTTTATTACAAATTATAGTACTAGGATTATATCAGTAGTCCATTCAGAAGTAGTGGGTACACTGTAACTAGTCAAGCCAGCACCTACTGCCGTGCTGAAAGGTAACGGTACCTTCTCCACATTTGGGCACCAGGCAGTATTCCCAGCGTACTCTGGGGCTGCTGGAGTAGCACCATGGCCTGTCACTCTCTCCCCCGGGATTGCGGCAGTAATTCTCAGCATTGCTCAGCTCAGGGATGATGTCCACAGGCAGCCTGTGAGGATGAGGATCCTGAGAGGAAGAGTGAGAATCGCTACGATGAAGTTGTGCCAAAAAGGGCTCGGATTCATGTCTATCATGTGCCAAAGACAAGATCCTCGAAAGATAAAATCAGTGTTATTTAGTGCTTGTGACGTAAAGACTACAATGCTTCAGAAAACTGGGACATGCTAATGTAGCTAAAGGCAGTGCCTAAATATGAGGGTAGCTGTGCATAAGCTCAGAAACCCTTCATCAACCCTTTTTTTAAACAAAACACTTTCAAAACATACTGTCCTCTCCCCATATCTGCATATTGCTGCTGTCGGAACAAAACCTTGTATCTCATATTTTTGTTGTTTTTTTTGTTTTTGTTTCGTTGTTCAGTTTTTGGCATAATTTGAAAATGCCTTTTGGCATTTACATTGTGTATAAATTTCATGGTGAATGGGCCAAAAGAAATGGCTCAAAATTGCTTGTTTTGTTCCGACAGCAGCGATATGTAAAACCAGCTCATTTTGAATTTGGCATTGTTAAAACATCACAACCATGAACACATTTATATGTCAACGCCAGTTGAGCCTGCAGCAGTTTAGCTCCGACAAAGTCCACATGGGAAAATCTGTTCAATCGGCCGCCATCTTTGCAATGCTGGCAATGCTGCTGAGTTGACTGAATTCGAATTGGTACCATAATAAGGCCACCATTGCAGCAAGTCAGTTCATGAAATTTCTTCCCTTCTAGATGTTCCACGATCAACTGCGAGTGGTATTACTGAAAAGTGGAACTGTTTAGGAACCACAGCAACTCAAAACAACAAAGTGTCAGACATAAAGTTACAGAGCGTTTTGTCGAGTGCTGAGGCTCATAGTGCATAAAAGTCTCACGCTTTGCTGACTCAATAACTGCAGAGGTCCAAACCTCCTCTGGCTTTAACATCAGAACAAAAACTGTGCTCCGGGAGCTTCATGGCATGGGTTTCCATGGCTGAGCAGCTGCATACAAGCCTTACATCACCAAGCACAATGCCAATCGTTAGATAGAGTGGTGTAAAGCACACCGCTACTGGACTCTGGAGCAATGGAAACATATACTGTGAAGTGATGAATCCCACTTCTTTATCTGGCAGTCTGCTAGATGAGTCTTAATGAATGTTACCTGCCTGACTGCACTGTGCCAGCTGTAAAGTTTGGTGGAGGAGGGATAATGCTATGGGGCTGTTTTTCAGGGGTCGGCCTCGACCCCTTAGTTCCAGTGAAGGGAAATCTTAATGCATCAGCATAACAAGACATTTTGGACAATTATACACTTCTAACTTTGTGGGAACAGTTTGGGGAAGACCCTTTTCTGTTCCAGCATGACTGAATCCCAGTGTACAAAGCAAGGTCCATAAAGGCAGGGCTGGGTGAGTTTGGTGTGGAAGAACTTGACTGGCCCACACAGAGCCCTGACCTCAACCCCATCAAACACCTTTGAGATGAACTAGAACAAAGATTGTGAGCCAGGCCCTCTCGTCCAACATCAGTGTCTTAAACTCACAAATTCTCTTCTGGATGAATGGGCAAACATTTCCACACACAGACTCTAAAATCTTGTAGAAAGCTTCCCAGAAGAGTGGAAACTGTTATAGGTGCAAAGGGGGACCCACTCCATATTAATGCCTATAGAATGGGATGCCATAAAAGCTCCTGTAGGTGTAATGTGTAGTTGTCCCAATACTTTTGTCCATATAGTGTACATTATATATCCAAAAGCCTCCACTCAGCAGAGTGCCGTGCGGATTTGATTTGATTAAATTAAATGACTAGGACTTACTGTTTTCTTCTTTTTGGATATATAAACTATGCTTGTAAAAGTAAACAAAAATCCTAATTATTTAATTAATGTTTAATTGATATTTAGCAACATTTCTCAATTTAATTGACCAAATTGCCATAACACAGTAAGAATGAAGGATGATCTGTATATACAGATGTGTGGGATGTTTTTTCTTATCTTTCCATTTTTTGTTAACTATTGTTGAACTAAGTATTATAAAGCTAATTATTAAAACATATATATTTTACAAAATATGGTATTTTTCAATTTTATCTCATTACTGCAACACACTGACAGCCATTGAGGTTTTTCTTTTTCTTGTGCCACATAACATTTTATTGTTTTGGTTCACATTCCTTGAGTTTAAAAGGACAACATTTTTTTTTTTTAAATAATATTGGTATTAGTAATGAGAAATAGATATGTGGGCACTCAGACAGATTAATTCAGCCCTGGGGATTTATTTTTATCGATGTTTTCAAAATAATTAAACTACGGCGAGTTACGACTGTATGTTACAAACTAGTTTTGTGTGTCTGGCTTCTGACATCTCTTCTCTTTGTTGTGAAAGTGTTTGGTCCCTTTACATTATTCATATCATCTGGATATCATGCACCATATGGCAGCTTGTTTGAGTTCACGCGTTGTTTGAAGCAAATGACAGAAACTGCAAAACTAGCCAGAAGAGTTATTTACAAAGACGAAAAAGCTTGCTTGTGTATGGTTGTATGAGCATGTGCATTTGGGTATTGGGGTTTTGTGCGTATGTTCACACAGGTAAGTCTTTGCTCCTCTACCTCTCCTTTTCCCGCAAGCCCACATCATAAGATCCCTTGGATCTCTTTATTCAAAGACCATCACTAATGACTGTGAATAAGCCAGGACGCTTCTGATGACGGCTGTATTTTTATCCCAGCTCCCCACTGGGACTAATTAAAGTAAAAACAGATAAATATTTACCTGCTGGTCCCAGCGCTGACAGGGAATACCAGACGCGGTGACATTGTGTGTTCCTTGGTAAAACCTTCCTCTGTCATTGTAGCATGTTGCTGTAGGAGTAAACACTGATCTGTAAGTTATGGTGGAAAATTAAATCTGCATTTCCCTGCCTCTTTTAGCTCATTTTTATTTGTATTCAGGCAAATCTATTAACTAATAATGTAAGAGAAAATGATGGCAAGCGTATAATGTCACTTACTTGTGATTTGGTCTTTCTTGAGTTCTGTACAGCAAAGAGAAAATTCATTTTAAAAACATATGTAAATTTAAAATGTATTATTTTTATTATTGTTATTTTCTAGTTATTTTCTATTTTACTCCAGCATTTTACAACCTAATCTGTATCTGCCACATTTGTATTGTGCAGTAAATTACCAGAGACAACAATTTCAACACATTTTCCTGTACTGTGCTTCAGCAACTGCCCAATGGCATCTATTATTCATATGTTTGATGTCAGTGAATGTTCTGTTCTTTTACTGAGGACACTGAGAAAACATGTTAGAATTATTGCCCATGGTAATCAAACACATCCTACCAATTCTACACACAGAGATTAAATTAAAAACTGCTGGAGGACTGCTTTAATACCAACATCTCATCAGTCATGCGACCTAACCCTGAGCTTATTATTTATTATCATATAATTGATAACAGAGAAATGTCCCCTTTAATCACATTAATAAAATATAATCAGTCAATTATAAAGATATAAAAAAGAAAGTAAATATAGAGATGTAAACAAAGCAAATATATATATTGCTGTTGTTGGAACAAAATCTTGTATCTCCAAAATGTTAACATTACAGGAGATGAAAAAAACATACCTTACTTTTAATGTAAGTCAATGGAACCAGAGTTTTTTCCAAGTCATTTTGGGCCATTTCTTTTGGTCCATTCATCATGAAATTAACACACAATGTAAAGGACAACAGGCATTTTGAAATTATGTCAAAAACTGAAAAACAACATAAGACATAAGGTTTTGTTCCGACAGCAGCGATTATATATTTATATATTTATAAATATATATATGCACATAGAAAAGAAAGCCTTTTGATCCCTAGATAAGTGCTGTGGAAATGGACATTCAAGAGCCAGACCAGATTATTTGGTAACACTACTTTTTTGACCTATAAACAATACACTGTGAAAAATAATCCATATAGAATAATCCATCTACAATAAGAATTAGTGCAGTTCAAATCAAAGTTTTCTGCAGCAGTTCTTACCCACAAAAGCCACAGAGGTACATGAGGCTGGATCAGCCTGCAGGCTGGGCAGTGTTCCACAGTCCGGCAGAATGATGCTCAGGCCTGGAGAAACGACTCCCCTGTGACTCCTCTCCTCCATAGAGCGCCACTCCTTATAACAGTACAGCTCCTTCACCGCCACACAGTGCTCCCTGTGAGGAGGTCAGAACCAACATTCAGTACCGTACAGGCACAGTATGAGGGGAAAAGTTTACAGTTCCACAACTATTAAGTCCCAAACGTGGACATGAAGCAGTATGAGAGTATTTTGGTTAATGATTTGTTAGCTTGTCTCCCTTTGAGACTGAAATAACTAAGTCATATATTATATGACAACTGAAAATGATCCTACTTATAAGTCAGATTTATACTATGTCTTTAAATGCATTTACATGGCCCATATCCTACATTTTTTCCTATTGTATTGTTTTTCCTTGAAGTCCGTTTTTGTGTGTGTGGCTTTATGCACCCAAAACAGCCATAATATATTTTTACATGGCAAATTTCCAGCCTATATTTATCCCAATTAAACAGCCTGTTTTTGTTATTGTGCTGATATATGTACATGGGCTCTGTTCCAATTGACTTCTCTGAATTGTCCGTCATTAAAAAAGCAGTCCGGCACTGAATCATTCCTCATAACTTCAACATAAAAGAGAGGGGCTAAACTGCTGTAAGCTGAATAAGCTGGTATAAGTAAATGTGTTGGTTTTTGTGACCTCACTAAAACAGTGAATTCAAAATGGGCTGTTTTTGAAGCTTTGTGTCCACCCATAGACTGGGTTGTGAATGGTGGGTTTTGAAACTTTAACCATGTTTACATACTATTTCAAAGTTTTTCATTATAAAAAAAGAAAGCAGTTTTCTGTGATATGGGCCCCTTAAAACTCGAATTCAAGATCTGTGTTTGCTGGGCCACTCAGTGAGCTATGGGAGTCGCTGTCTCTTACTGAGTCACTGACTGACTGAGTGATTGACTGATCTGAAGTGTCCCTGACACACATCGTTGTAACATGCATGCAGAAGCATTGCCAAAGATTGACATTAGGTGGCAGTATGCACTGTTATACAATGTCGCCTCTACCAATGCTACCAATATAATACTAACAAATAATTAATCATCACATTCAGTGAAATCAATCATGGGTCTCATAGAAGGCGACTACTTCTATTTGAGTTCAAACAACGTCAGAAGGGTTTTTTTTCTTTACTACTGTACGAACAGCCTTATATAGCTATTTTTTATTCTTCCCGGTGAGTATAAAGTCATGAAGTGCTAGTACATAACCACTAAGTGCACCAGAATGTAAAGTAGAATACTATTCTGATATGTTGATTGCAGAGGGGAACCATCATGGCCCTCTACGCCCTCAGAGAGGGCCTAAGATATTAAAAAAATCATATTTTAAAAATAAACTGTACTAATATATATTATAAATATAATATATATATATATATATATATATATGTATACATGATCATATTTTGACAATTGACCATTGAAACAAATGCAAATCTAAGCAAACAAATCCTTCAAACTTGCCTATTCAATTTGTATTAGAATGTGAAGGGTTAAATTAAACGAGCCCCGTTGTCTACCTATCAGAATTTCTCTGCCTCTGCTGTTGCTGGAAAGAATGTTGGTGATCGGTGGTCCAGCTATAAGTTTACAGAGGGCCAGGCAATAGTAATTCTATGAGAGACAAATTTCAAATGACAGTAAAATTGAACAATCATATTTTTCCTCCAAACAGGTGGGCTCTGTTATATCTAACTTTATGACAAGTAACTCCCTCTGGGACACAAAGCTAGCTAACTAGCTTGTTGGTTCATGACGGAAGCAGAGAGTAGCATTATCCCTAATGAGAAGGACATTGTTCATTTTGTTCTAGCTCCAAAAAATCTGAGCCAGGTAATCTATGTCTGTGGGAGTAAACATGGTCTACGCTGCCCATCAAAATTTTGGGACAATTTGACAGTTTGATTTCACTGTTATGTTTCAATGTTAGTTTCTTGTTAAAATAAAACATTTTTTTAATGAGAACTGTAACAGAAAAGTTCTGTGGACTGGCCAGGAGTCCCTGAGGACTGGCTATTGGTTGGCTTTACCTGCAGATGGGTTTGGGTGAGGGTCCCAGGCCGGAAGGGCTGCAGTCCTGGAAGGTGTTGTGGCAGAGCAGAGAGCGCGCAGCCGGCCTGCACAGAGCACTGGCCCCATCCAACTCCGCCCAGCTGCCCTGGGCCAGCAGCTCCTGCCCCTCCTCAGGCTCCGGCAGGGAATAGTTAAAGAAGATGAGTGCATCGCGTCTCAACACGCCACGACACACTTCACCCCGGTACGTACTGCAGTATCCAGCACTGCCTTTATACAGCCTGCACAAATCAACAGGACATGTCAAAGTACAGCACAGTGGGAAAAACAGCTTGTACTTGGCAGACCTGCAGTATTTAATATATGAGAGCAGGTGTGATTTTTAACACATCTGAATGGGCTGTACTTTATTTCTTTTACAAAGGTCACTATAAATCTCATTTCTGTTGATCCACACATCATGAAATGTTTATACACATGTAATAGAGTGGCTGTTTATGGAAGCCCATTTCACATAGAGGATTAAAAAACTGCCTGTGGCCTTTTTTTTGGCCTTCTCTGTTTCTGTTCACCTTCAAAAATTATTTATTTCCTCAAAATATTGTCTCAATACCTCAAAATCATGACTACTTTTCTCTAAATACTGACTTAGTGTCTTGAAATATTGACTTTCTTGAATATTGGCTTTCTTGATATTTGCAATACATTGAAAAATGGAAAATGTATTTATTTCTGAGATATTAGACTAAAGTTTTGACATATACTCTTAAAAATAAATGCCAAAAAGGATTTTTTGTACAATGCCATAAAATAGCCAAATTTTTTTTGGTTCCTTAAAGAACCCTTCAAAGGATTGTTCCTTGGTGAACCATTTTGTAAACAGGATCTGTGAGTGTGAAGATCCTCAGAGAACCTCTATATAATGTAAATACTGCAGGAAGAACCCTTTAATTGTTACATTATGTAAAAGTATGTAAAGTATGTATGTAGCACTTTTAAAATGTGATTTTTCTCACTGTTGCTTTTCAAATAAGCAAGAAAAACAATGCTGCAAAGGTTTTGTTAACAAAAAAGTTGCTGAAAACACTTAATATTGTGGGTATATTTAGGTTCACCACTCATGTTGATAAAAGTGTTCTCCTCAGTTTGAAGAGCAGCTTTTGCTAAAGTTATGATTTGACCTTTTTTCCCCAAACTACTCTTAAAAGCAAAGATTGAAACTCTTTTGGTTTAAAGGTGCTTTAAACACGTGAAAGTGACGATGAGCGCTGAGATCACTACAATTGGATATAATGTGCAGCTTTTGGTGTTCCCACTCTCCATCACAGATATCGTCACATCTATTTCTAGGTCTAAATTACTGCAAAACAGCCACGACAGCATGCTTTCATTTCTATTAAAACCATTCTAAAAAGCTGGGTGTACCCAAACTTTTGATGGGCTGTCCACATGATTCGCTTACAATGCATTACCAAACAAACTGAAAACAAATACTGAACCATATGTTATTGCTAAAAAGAATGTTGAGTAAGGGTTTATACTGGGGTAATGCATTCTATTCACTATTTCAGTCCTCCTCAGGTCCAATGTAAGGTATGTATACACACTGGACAAGAACAAAGCACAAAGCACATGACTCTTTTATTCTATTTAACTTCCCTCTAATCATGAGCAGATGTCAAATCTGAAGCAAATCTTAAGGAGAGTTTACTTGAGTTCATATGTAACTCAGACCAGATGGCATGGCTGGCTTAATGTGCAGCAGCAGTGCATCACAGGACGCTTATGTATATGTTTACATTCATCAACTCTTATCCACTCCACATTGTTCCTTTTTCCAGTGGCAAGTTAGCTGTCATTCTCCAGCTGCCAGACTTCATGACAATGAAGCATTTTTTCTCCAATTTATGGAATTTATCTGTTCTTTTTTATCAAGATTCTGCATCATAATTTAGGCCGAATCCAAGACTGAGTACTGTGCTTAACGCCTTTGGATGGGATTACCAAAGGATTCAACAGAAACACAGGAAGCAATAGATATGAATTCATATTTATTGCTGGGATTTAGTACAGAAAAAATATATGGAAGGAAATTACATAGCAAAATCTCCAGTGATGAATGAACACAAAGTTAAATTTATCAAGTTGAGGAGTAGCTCAAATAAAGCACATCAATGAGTTTAACACTGCTGTTAATAGTGTTGGTATTGTATGATGTTCTTACCTCCATTCTATGGGAAAAAAGCAGGATCCAGAAGCCAGCGGCAGGAAATGGCCCAAGAAGAAAGAAAAAGTTAAGCAGTTTTTCCTCAGCCATGACAAAGAATAATGCATCCACTCTGCAAAGCAGGCCATGCTTCTGATGTTGTGCTTGGCCTACAATGTGTGTGTTTGTGTGTGGCCTGGAGGAAAGAGCAGGTGTGAACTTTAGCGCGTCTGAATGGGCACAGTTAAAGGGGGTGTTGGTAGGACCCACTATATTTTATGTAAACAGTGGTAGGGCAACATATTCTGCTCAAAAACATTATTTTATCTGCTTTCCTGGCGCATATATCATTAAGAGGTTTTGGATTAGCAAAGCACTACTGTGGCTGTGGGGCTGAATGAATCATGTTTATATGAAGAGGGTATATTATAAGAGCGCAATGTTTAAATCACAAGAGATGGAATTTGCATTACAGCCTATATTATCAATAATGCTGTCTTAAGTTTTAAGTGGGGAACGAGTTAGACCAAGAGCATCCGAGAGCATTCCGCCTTGCAGAATTTAGCTCTAATCCTAACCGAAAACACCTGATCCAGGTGATGAAGGCCTTCAGATGCACCTGAATACAAGAACCAGGGGCTGGATTCACAAAAGTGTCTTAAGAAAGAATGTGTGTGAAAATGTGTGCTTTTCTTGACTTCATTCCTAAGAAAAAAGTTACAAGAAATCGTTATTCTTCAAGAAGACTTAACAGTGGGATTCTTGAAAATATCATGTTCTTAAATGTTTCCTCAATGTTAACACAGTAAGAGCTGACAGGGTCAGCGTCTAAATTTATCTCGGACTCTATCTCTATTCCTCCTGCCCATCTTCATCCGTCAACCCCCAATTATCATATTTTCCAGTGAGGTATTTTTTTCCTGTTTGCTGTTTCTTTCACCACCTCTTCTAGTTCTTGTTTCTACATTCTTTAAATGTTTGGTTTGATGTTTTTCCTTAGTTTTGCTCCTCTGGGCAAACAGTTAATACAAATTCAGAATGTATCTCGCATTGTTTATGGTATGTTGTAAAATGCAATGTAGCCTACATAAGAAAACAATGAAGATTTGTTTAAAGAAAATAATAAAGATTATTTTAAGAGAATATTTGAACTCCTTAATTTTTTTTGAGAATTGCATTTAAGAACATTCTTATGAACTCCTTAGTGTTTGTCTTAAGAATCTTTGTTTGTCTTAAGTATTTTCTTAAGAAAGCTTTCAGGAATCCTGCCCCAGGCGTGTTGGATATGAACCCTCCAGGGTGGTAGTATCTCCAGGAGCAGGATTGGGCAGCCCAGAGTTAGACCAATGAGAAACACCCAAGTTCTGGGTCACATCATTAACATCTCAAACCAGAAAATATCTGGGAAACCAGATATTTGCTGTCCAAAAAAAGTCTTTTTTTGGATCTCTCTCCACCAATGGAAAATCTCTTTCCATTTGTGTTGTTCTGTGTCATTCTATAACCCAAGTATTGCTAAAGTACATGCATTTGTTAGAAGCAGGTTTGACTATTGCAAAGCACTTTTTACTGAACTTTCTGAGAAAACAAGGCATCTTCGACAACTTGTACAGAAAGCACCAGCACGAATGATAACCCAAACAAAACGAAAGCTCACATCATCCCTTTTTTAAAATATATGCACTGCCTGGCTGTATCTTTTAGGATAGATTTCAAAGTCTTTTTATTGGTTCTTACAGCTCTTAATTCGATTTATGCACCTGCATACCTCACAGAATGTCTGTCTGTTTATGTTCCAACATGTGATTTTAGATCTGCAGATTCTGGCCTTCTCCCAACACCCTGTGTGAATTACAGAAACAGTGGAGAAACAGTAGAGATGCCTCTTTCTGTTTCACGTCAAACATTACGACGTCTGTCATGACAATTACCAGTAACTGTAACACGAGATCGTTCTATTCCTGAACATAGTCTATTATGACAACTGCTGACAGCATATGACATCTGCTATGAGATGTTTATGGCATGATTATATCAGTGTTATGAAGCAGCGTTCAAGTGTTACTGATATTTTTCCCAAATCATTCAGCTCTATAGGATTGATCTGATTAACCGTTCAGTTCTGAAGTGACCCTTTAATGTAGAGGAAAAGGTTATGTACCTACTTCAACATTTCAATCTACGGCTTAGTCAAATAACATGATTCCACGGTGCTGTTGCTGAATTTATTTTGACCTGTAAAAAATATGATCGAAGAAACCTGAAAATGTATAGCCCTCCTGTTATCTATGGGGTCAATTTGACCCCATTCAATGTCTCTAAATAAATATTTGACTTCATGTTTTTGCTTCATATTTAGTGACGTTTCCTAATTTAATGGGGACAATTAGGTAAACATAATATTAATGTGATATGTCTTCAATGTCCTGTACACATTTTGTATATATCTGTGATCTTTGGGGTCAGTTTGACCACAGGTTGTTTTAGCTGTATAAAACATAAGCAATATCAACATTTTACTCACATTTGTTTGGTTGTTTGGATGATATTGAGGTCACTATAACATGCAATAATCTTCACGAGACTTCCACCTGCTTTAGGGCCAGGAATCAGTAACAAAATGTAAAACTATCGCAGTGCATCCAAAAATAAGGGCAGCATGGAGCTTCTTATATACAGTGATAGGCTCCAATTCCACATGATCCAATATGGCCATGCACACACCGTAATAACACTGGGAGAAGATTTCAATGGGCCAAAATAACAATAATAATAATCAATCAAATCCAAAGTCTCTGAAAGTATCACCAGAATTCAGAGACATTCAGAGACTTTGGATTTAACACTGTGCTTTTATATAACACTGTGCGTGTGCTCTGCAGAGTGTTTGGTTAGTTGGTAAAGAACAGCTTTCCTAACAAAGGAGGCCTGAATGACTGAAATAACAGCCCTCAGCAAATAAACAAACAGCTGATGAGCCTTAAAAAAACCCTCAAAGCAATTCCATTAACTGAAGCAGCGAGACAAGCATGTGCTTATAAACAGTGTAGCAGTGTGGAGTAAAGCCCTCAACTGCCCAGGCTTATTCAGAGGGTGAGAAAATACAGACCACAAATATTACAAGGCTAAATTATAAACACGAAGGCCACATTATAAACTTTATACAGCCTTCAAATAGAACAGGTCTCGGCAAGCCTAGATGCAGCATGTTGCTTTGAAAATGTGATTGTTTTAGAATGTGAAGCACCGAATACAGAAAAATGCATGAAAATGTACATTTAAAGTCACTTGTCATGTTAATTATGCATGTGATTTGTTGTGATATGCAGTAACAAACTGTTAGTAACTTGACTCAAAAAATATTAAAAAAAAATTGAATAATGAACGTTTCCAGGATTTTTTGTAATATTTTGCAAAAATATGTGTACTGTAAATATTCTGTTATATACTGTAATGTATTTATAATATTGGTTGGAGAAGGTATTAGCCTTGAGCTTATATTCTCTTTGTGTATATTACTATAAATTCATTTGATCTTACACACTTAAAAAAGATGGTTCTCCAAGGGTTCTTCAGTAAATAAAATGGTTCTGTATAGAACCATGAACACTCAAAGGACCTTTTACTTGATTAAAGTGTTCTTTGCATCATTAAATGATTCTTCAGATTGATGGAGAATGTGCTGTAGATGGTTCTATATAGAACCTTTTTGAAAAGGGTTCTTCTATTATTACGAGCTTTAAATTATGTCAATAAACAAACCCTTTTTGGTGCTATATTGAACCCTTTTCAAAAAGGTTCTGTATAGAACCATATACAGCACATTCTCCATATATTTGAAGAATGCTTTAATGTTGAAAATAACCCTTTAATCATACAAACGGTAACCATTTTCTTTACTAAAGAACTCTTGAAGAACCATATTTTTTAAGTGTGTATGTTACGTGTCTCAATGCTTTTTCAGCTTCCTGCAAATTATTTGGAACATGGCCGTGTGTGGAGGCCAAGCATCATATTAGTCATTTTACACATGCAACTTGCAACAAAATTAGTTTTGCATTATCGAAAACATTGATTTCTACTTCAAGAACTGTGATTTCTTTTGAAAGCTAATGTATTTTGTCATTGTCATATGAAAACCTCATAACTCCATTTTGAATTTTTTTTTATTGACATTTTTTTTATTTATTTATTTTTCTATGTAATTTGAAAGTACTGGCTGTCTTTTACATTGTGTCAACATTTCATGATGAACAAGCCAATAGAAATGATCTTAAATGACTCTGGATAAAAACTTAGCACATAAACATACAGAAACTTAATGTATGTTTTCCTTCTCCTGTAAAGTTACCAATTTGGAAATACGAGGTTTTCTTACGACAGCTGTCCCGTCTATGTCGGCCCACCTGAGATGGTGATCTTGGCTGTAGCTTTGACAGTGTTGGCTCCTCCACTGTGGTGGTTGGTGGCCTGGCAGGTGTAGAGGGCCGGTTTATTGACCACCACCCGCAGCACTGATAGGATTACCTCCCCAACCAGAGTCTCCTCTACTGATGCCCCCATGATCTGCAGAAGAGAAGCAGTTTTGGACTCATTAAACTGCAGAATTATTGTTTAGTATTAATTTTAGAACTTAATAAAACTCAAGACTTAGTGCTTAATAAATACTATAAATTATTTTTAGAGTTCACCGAAGGATGAGTATGAAGAATGAATTCCAAACAGTGTTTGTACTGCTTTAATACAACTATTGCAAGGTAAAAAACAAAAACAAAAAAGTAAAGCAAAGAAACCCCGATCACTGCTTCAAATGTGCAATTTTAATACTGGCAATTTTCTTACAGCAAAAAAAGGTAGCACCAGCAATAGGAGTGTAATAAAATTCACAAAACTCAGTTTTGGATTTGATATGATACCATGGAGTCTTGATTTGATACACTTTTCTACATAGCAAAAAGGAGACGTAGTTGAAAATCTGCCTCACATTAATGTTAATGTTTACATTTTCAGTTAATAACGACATTCAACATGATAAAGGAACAATATTTGAGACAAAAGTTAGTAATATGTTAGTGTCAAGCTAATACAATCATCATGATGCAGTATGAATCACTGCAGTACATACATTGTTTTGTTATATGCCTATAAGGCAACCATCGCTGTTACTTAGCGACCAGTGGTAGATACAGGTATGCTGAAAATGTGATTGAGTGTGATTGTTTGGTTGAAACTAACTGCACTGCCCACACTGATATTGATACATTGACATATTAGCGATATACACTTGTAAACATGGTACACTGCAACAGTGTTCATTTCTATTAGAAATTGAAATGCAGAGAAAATATCGACAGAACAATTCTATCAAATTTCACTCATGATCGCACCTCCAACCTTCCACTACACCGTCTTCATAAGAACCCAGTTATTCAATACAATCTGCTGACTTCAGGAGAACATTATGAGCTTGTTATGAGAATCTCAAGCTTTAATCATGGATCTATATTTGAAATGGGCTCCTCACAGAGCTGCTTTTAGAAGCACTTCATCCGGCTAAAGGAAATTAATGAGCTGAAAGATCTGCCAGGGCCGCCCTCACGCTGGGTAATTTTAATCATTCGTCTGATAATGCTGCGCGTATTTCAGAGACACTTCAGAGAGCAAAGTTCATTCCGTACACAAGAAAAGCTTTCAAACTAGAAGAGGAGTCTTCAACTTCAGTTCATCTGATTGCTATATGGAGCCGATAGTAATCCCGAAATTTGCTAGCAAAAACATTCTTAACATTTAATGAAAGATAATGTAAAAACACTTCATTACAAGCAGTTTTAGAGCATTTCTTTTAGTCCATTCATCGTGAAATTTTCACACATAATAAATGACAGCTAGTGTGTTTAAATGATGTACAAAAATAAAAATACAATATGGAGGGAGATGCTAATAACTTGACAAGAGGTAACTTAAAGAAACCACAAAGAAGCTCCACCCCACTACTACAGTATGTTTATTAATGTAACATGAAATCGGCCGATATTATTGGTTATTAGAATTACAAAGCCTATGAAGTTGCACAGTAGTAGTATTATGATTATATTATAATCATTTTATGCATTTACCTGCACCTAAATTAGTTTTACATTACTAAAAAGATGGATTTTCAAACTTTTGAATGATGTTTCCAAACCTCTGCATGGTAGAGTACGTTCTACCAAGAAACAGTCAAAAACAACACTGAAGCAGCTCAAGAAGACACCATGTGAAATGTATATGTTGTACATTTTGTGGCTGTGTTGTTATAATCCAAAAGTCTTTGTTTGCCTGTAACTAATCGCTGATCTGGCTTTTAACAATATTAATAAACAGTAAAAGGCTCCAATAATTGCTCTTATGCACAGCCTCCCTGGTGGATTTGGAACTCAGTACAGTTTGACTTTGGGACAGCAAGGCAGCTGAAGATGGAGAGAGGGCCAGTCGTAAATAAGGGAGCGAGGAGGTCATGTTTGGTAACTGTAGACTCCAGCCAGCAGAGCAGCCAACAGAGCACAGTGAGGTTAAAATGACCTCCCACTATAGCCTGTCTTCAGCAACCCGTCTGCACAGCTCCTTATCAAGAACTAAAAAGGCATTTACAACATAACTGTCAGATACTGCTGTTGTAAATCAGTGTCAGCACTTTCTCATTTCTCTTCTAAAAGTCGATGGCTTTTCAGGCAAGCCTTGAAACAGGAAAAAAGCACGTATTTCACAGAAAAGAGGCTTTGTCCTTAGGTTACAGAGTAAAACTGAATAGGACAGGAAAACAAAGACTGAATTCCAAAGAAATGCTTATTGGATATCCTGTGCCTTTCTAAATAAAGTGTGTCAATGCCATTAGCTCATGTTCTGTGTGGTGAACTCTATGAGGGGGGACATTTAGGATTTGGCCTGGATGTTTGAGCAGCCAGCCTCCCCTCAAACAGAGGCCAGAGAGGCCTAGTTTACCTTACTGTCCACTCTCTTAAAGGGCCCAACTCCTGTAAAAACAAAGTTTCCTCTTGTTCTTTAACCCTTAGGACTAACCAAGTAGTTTTTGTTATTGTGTTTTTAAGACTCATATATTTAAATGACCTGTGTTCTGATTGGCTGTCCTATTGTGTCTTCAAAAGCAGCCTAGGCTGAAACAGGCCTTATAACTTGGGTGTTAATGGGCAGAGCTAAACTGCTGTAGGCTGAATAGGTAGGTATGTTTTACTGCATTGCTTTTTGTGACATCACAAAGAAAATTAATTCAAAGTGTTGTTTTTGCAGCTTAGTTTTCATATATATGAAATCAGTTTTCCATGATACAGGCCCCTTTAAAACACCAACATTTGGCATCCAAGGCACCAAACCTAGAGAGTTCATACTGATCACTCTGCTTTTTACAATGTTCTCGTCTTGTTGTATGGATGTGAACTGAGCTTTAGATATTGTCTAGTGAAACTTCTGTTAAACATCCTGAATGGCTTCTTGCAGAGTGATTTGCTTACGCAACACACACATTTCCCAACAGCAGTGTTTCTGAAAGCCCCGTCTTTTGTTATTAATAAGCAGCCAGTGCTTGGATACTGATATCAGCAGCTGTGATTGTGGTTCTGTTCTAACTGATAAACTTGATTTCAAATGTCTGGCTAAAAGAGCCCCCCATGCTGTTTTTATCAGTGATCTCACATCAGTGTTCTGAGGTCATTAACATAGCTGGAATGGTGTTAATAGTGGTATCGAGCGGAGAATGCACAGCTCCCCCCAAGGCCTCCCACTGGCCTGAGTGGACAATACATGTTAGAAATGCAAAGTCTGACATTTGGCTTGAGCTGGCTGTGCTTTGCTCAAAGCTCCAGTCAAATGACTGCGATTAAATTACCATTAGTTTGCTCTTTGGAGCTCAGATGAATATGACAAAGAAGGAAATGTGGAGAAGCAGGCAGACGGAGAAGAAGGGGAAAGGACAGTGGAAAACGAGTGCAGGAAAATAAGGTACCTGGTTAAATAATGAAGCATAGACCTACCGTGTTGCCGTTTTCCAGCCAAGTTATGGAGGGGATGGGGTTGCCAGTGGCATTGCACTCCAAAGCCACTTCTGTTCCAATCTGCACCTTCCTCTCTTTTGGAACTTTAAGTATTTTAGCAGGAGCTGAAAAAATGAAACATTTTAAAAAAAAATCTGCAAATTAAATCACAAAGATGCAAGCAGTCATTCAGAGTGGCCTATGTGGAATGTGCCATTCTATAGAAACTTACAGGATGAGTTGCTCACAGTGGTGGTGAAGGGAACCAGTCATTTGAAGCATTCAGTGCCTCTAAAATAGCAATTCAAGGGGCCACAGGGGGTCTGCAGTAAAATTCTAGAAGTTCTTTGATCTTTGATCTCTACTTATTAAGTTTTCATTTTGTCAGTTTATTAAATCTGCTTCTGTTATACCTAAAAAGTCCTACTTTATTACATTACATTATTAACATGAAATACATGCCAACATTTCACAACGTTTCAGCCACCATATGAGTCATTTGTAATGTCATAAAACAAGGCCACGTATTTTGTATGTGTAAGTCAGCTATGGGTAGAAACAGTCTAGGTTCTGATAAGACATGGATTTCATGTTTGTGCTGTTTTTTTTTTCAGCAGAGGAATCATCACAGGTTTGCTTCCAACCACACAAAGTTGTTAAGTAATCGGACTTATATGGTTTCTGACACTGTATGACAAACTGTTATCTATAAAAATGGACACAAGTTTAACAATATAGTTAAAAACAGGGGTAGCAGCCATGTTGAAGCCTAAATGTTGACCATTTTTATAGATAACAGTGTTCGTACGGCTTTAGAAGCCACATATTTGTGAATAATTAAAGGAGAACCCCACTGATTCTTAAAAAAATCTGCATAATTAAATGGTTAAGATGTAAACAAAGTCATTCAGAGTAGTTTGAGGCAAAGAAAATTCTAGAGAAACTTAGAAATTCGGAATTGTTCACAGTGGTAGTGATATGAACCAGATGTCTGAAGAGTTTAATGCCTCTAAAAGCTCCATCACAGAAAGTTATTACATGACGTGGCAATAAATACTCAGCCTGATGTCTGAGACATTGTTTTGCAATAGGTTTGAGAGAAGGTTTTGGCCTAAAATGTATTTATTTTAATGGGTTCATGGTGGAGGGATACATGAAGGGTGTTCTAAAGCAAAAGAGTCCCCAAAGAAAACTCCAAGAAAAGTCCCCAAAATAAACTGACTATATTTGTATGGTAGACATCAGGACTCCTGGTTCTTATCACTACCACTGTAAAGAAATCTGAGTCAGTAAGTTTTTCTACAAATGAGCCATTTCGCATCAAATCACTTTGAATGACATTATTTACATTGCAACCACTGAACCAATTCAGTGGTTGAAATGTAAATAAAATTGTGTAAGTCAGATTTTTGCCAATCTATTCCTTTTAGTAGCTTTACCTTGTACTTCGATGGTGACCGGTTTTGAGACGGCAATCCCAAAGCTGTTTTTAGCTACACATCGGTACTGGCCAGCGTCCTCCTTCTTAATACTGTGAATTTTTAAGGCACCAAATTCCAAAATCGAAATTCGGCTATCAACCTGCAACAGTGACGCAGCACAAAGACAAGGAATTAATATTTTCTATTGTTTTCTTTACCACTAAAAACAAAAAGAGTCAAAATCTGACTTTGATAAATATCCACTTTTTCTCTAATACAAAAGTGTTAGATTAACAACTGGAAACTTTTAGAGAACCCCTAGATTTACCTTAATTAAATCCTCATCTTTAATCCAGGAAATATCTGGTTTGGGATATCCTAACGTTACGCATGGCAACACTGCCTTGGACTCCAGTAGCAATGTGATGTTTGTTGGATGTCTCTTAATTTGAGGCTCTGAAAGAGTAGCAGGAATTTAGGATACACATAGAAATTTATCTCAAAGACTGTGAAGTTCTTAAAATGGACAACACAATAAGCAGTAGTTCATCTGCTGCTGCACAGTTTGTGTTGGTCATCCTCTAGTCCTTCATCAGTGGTCAGAGAATGCTGTGCATAGGATGCAGTTGGCTGGATATTTTTGGTTGGTGGACTATTCTCAGTCCAGCAGTGACACTGAGGTGTTTAAAAACTCCAGCAGCACTGCTGTGTCTGATCCACTCAGACCAGCACAACACACGCTAACACTCCACCACCACATCAGTGTTACTGCAGTGCTGAGAATGATCCACCACCCAAATAATACCTGCTCTATGGTGGTCCTAGGAGGTCCTGACCATTGAAAGGGGGCTAACAAAGTATGCAGAGAAACAGATGGACTACAGTCTGTAATTGTAGAACTACGAAGTGCTGCTATATGGTAAGTGGAGCTGATGAAAAGAGTGTAGATATACAGAGGTGTACTTATTGAAATGATGGCATCATTCTGTAGTTCTTCCCTTTGGCAAAAAGAAATGGGATTTTCAAAACTCAAAAAGGTTCCTGTTAACCATTTTTCCAATAAAGGTCCCAAGATCATCTGAATTAGAATGTCATTAAGGAGTTGAAATATGAATATGGTTATGTCCATGCTAATAGCAAACTACCACTCCTGCACAATGATATTGCATAAAAGTAAGAATACATGAAAGTGTTTACTATTAAGCTTCAACACTAACATATAACAGCACCAGCTACTCCAAATATACTTACTACTGCTTAACTACAGCACTTATATAAAATATTTTTTTGATATATTTTGGTAAGGGTGCCAGTTCAGTGGGCAGTGTTGTTAGCTCACATAGTCATATTTCAACTTTTCAGTGACTTCATAATTTAGAGGTTTAGTGACATTCAGAGGAAAGATGTACGTAGGACAAAATGTATCAGGCTTTACCAACATGATTCCAGGAACTTTTGAAGAGGTGTTCTCAAAAATTGTTTGAATATCACTGGATCCTATGAATTAAGAGGTTATTAACCTATTAACTAATTTAAAACACAAACATCGCATATGAGCATTGAGTTGACATCATAAGACTCACTAAAATACCCCACACAAACCACCAAGCATGGTCAGTTATGGTAGTTAAGTTGCTTTGGTTGCAGTAGCCTACAGTTTGAGCAGCTGGTGATATAAAGGAGTTGAAGAGCAGTATTAGAATTACTATTGTTAGCTTGCTTGTAGTTTGAATGTAGCAATATTCATGTTTTGAGTACTTAACAAACTTCTCATTCCAAGAATCCTGTGACGTTTGTGGGAAATGTCTACAAAGGACAAAATGTATTGGCTTTGGAACATTTTTGTTTACCATGGGATGCAATTTTAGAAAATAACAAATCATTTTTACCAACAGAGCATAAACCGTTACAAATGCAGTGCATGGTAGTGATATCATTTGGATGAAGGTCATGGTACGTAATGCGTATTGGATTTCTGGTTTTATATATATATGACTTTACAAGTCATGTGTGAAGTCACGTCATATACTCACATGATGTATATCATATTTAGAGATCATATTTATTATGTACAACATACTCATCTTCAGCTGCAAAGCTCCACAGCTTTTTGCTGGCTCTCCAATTCCATTGTTGGCATTGCAACAGTATTCTCCATTGTCTGAGTCCTTCACATTGGGAATGATCAACATTTGGCCATTTTCTCGGATAATGTATCGTGGATCATAATGCCTGTGGTAAACAAAAAAGCACAACTATTGACATGGAGGGCGCTGTTTCCTGTGTTTTATATCAGAAGATGTTGATTTACAGCATATTTATGGAAAAATGACTGACCGTATGGGGTAATTGTTGCGCGTCCAAGAAATGTCTGCTAAAGGATAAGAGTCTACCTCACATATAAAAGTTGCATTGTGATCCAACAAGGCATCCACAGTTTCAAGTAAGGTTGTGATTCGAGGAGCTGAAAAAGAGATAAAGAAAGAAAGAGGGATGGAGGAGAAGAGGAGGGGACGCAGGGGTGAGGGAGGCAGAGAAAGTGCTTCATTAGCATCAAACTTCTGCGAACTACAGCACACACATAGCACAAATAGCATTCTCAAGCTATTTAGCCTGTACTAGACCTAGGCCTTCAAGGCAACAAGGTTCCAATGAGTCACACGCAGTGGTCAAAACTTAGCATTTCTTGTGGTCAAAGTTAGCTTTCATTGTCATTTATCAAGTTAAGAAGGAGGACAAATTTACAAGAAAAATGGCACACAGCGTTTGACCTCAAATAGCAAACTAAGCATTTATTGTGGCTGTTGTGAAATGAAGCTTTCACAACAGCATAGTTTACATTCTGAACGGTCTTCTTCGCAATACCATGCTCAACTGACCTCAACGAGGGTCACGGAGGGAGAGGAGGCATGCTTCTAATGCCAATAATAATGTGGACGTAGCACTGCTAATACTGCGGATGTTGCGCCAGTGTTATCTCAAAGCTCGCTCGAATAATACTCTAAGGCTTGTTCAGCTAGCTGATAGCATATATACAGTTTCTGGTCATTGTGAAAGAAGTATAAAGGAATGAAATATTCTAAAAGAAAGTCATATTTGAAATCAGTGCGTCTTCAGGAATTTTCTCCTGTTTCTGAAACTGGACTTCTGAGGAATAACACTCAGATCTTCTCACACTGAATGAAACAATGTCCCACAGTTGATTTAAAGTGGAATTCCAGAGATTTTTCAAAACCCTTGCACAATAAAATTGTTGAGATGTAAACAAAGTCGTTCAGGGTGTCTTGGTGTAAAATGGTTAATTGTTGGGAAACTTATAGACTCGTGTTTTAGGGCAAAACTTTATTTCAGAACTATCATAAAACAATGTATTAGGCAACATATTCACATGCAATATCTTTCTGTCGGGTAGCTTTTAAAGGCATTAAACTCTTTGGACGTCTGGTTCTTATCCCCACTGCTGTGAACCTCTGACTGAAGTAAGTTTTTCCAGGATGGCACGTTTCACAACAAACCACTTTGAATGACTTTTAAATGAATTCTAATCATTTAATTATGTAGAAATAAAAATTAATTAAATAAAATCACCCTGTAACTCTTTTGTGTCTGACTCACCCCAGTTTAAGTTGAATATCATTAATGAAAAGATGTGATATCATCTTTTTCTTTATAGCTCTTTTCTACATCTCAGAAATCTTTTCCTTTGGGTTTGGGTAGAGGTTACATTATCAAGGTTCATTTAAGCTTTATAATTCCAAAATGCTTTAAACTAAAATACACTTAAACATGTAAATTCATGAAGATACAGTAAGTGTTTCGAATGAGTCTGTTGTTAGAAAGCAACAGCTCTTAAGTGTAGCCAGCTAATTTGCCTACAGAACCCAGCTACACCTAAGAACCTCTTGCTAGCTGGCTATAGGCTACCCAGTGGTGGAGTTCAAGTGGGAATTGGTGGTTTTAACCCAGCGCAGCTATACTTCACAAGCTACCTTTTCTCTTCAAGAATAAGATAAGACAAGCTACTCAGTACTGCTAATTTTATGGAATGCTAGATAATAAGATAAGTTGCCTCTTGACCTGTTAGATCTTCGGTGGGCATTTTATTCCCTCTGACAAAACCCTTTACCATCAACATTTAGACTATCAGTTATGTATGCATGGTTTAAAAGGGGTGGCTCAAAATTTCTGCCACGTCATTGCCTTCTACCTCGATTTGGGCCAGGTGTTTGTGCCTTAAAGAGGAGAGTCGTTTGCTATCAGCGACCCTGGCAACCCTGACGCTGTACCAAACACTCCACAGCATAATGAAAAGTGTGAGTGCGTGATTCTGAATAACCACCTCTTCACTAGGTGTGCATGCTCTGCCTGATCAGGACTCGTTTGTTTGATTTGAAGAACTCATGTAGTACGGTAATCTCACATATGGATGGAATGAAAATATTAGTAATAGAGTTGTTGATTGATACCACCAGGGTACGAAAAGAGGGGATGGACATTTTACAAGGGGGTTGGCTTGTGTCTTTCTTCCGACAGAGGAGGCATCTCCTTGTATCCCTCTTCAAATCAAGCATTGACTGCACTGAGATCCGTACACTGAAATGAAGGTACAGTACATGTTTCAAAAGATTCTATTGTAAGAAAACAACTGTTATTAAGTCGCTGCACCCCAGCAGCAATAAGCTGTGAACACAGCAGGGAGTGATAGTGTCTGATGCTAACTTCACTTAAATGGCTGCTGTGTTGTGATTGTCATTAACAGTTGTTTAGTCTAGTTAAAAGATTCATCCGCTGGAGGAAACTGCTCAAGTACTAAGACCATCCTGAATTTCTTGCTGCTTTCTTTCTTTTCTTTCATTTCTTTTTAGGATAGATAAGCATTAAACATCACATATAAAACTGGGTGCCACAGAAAGCAATACTGTCAATGTTGTTTTCGGATTTCTTTAAAATCCTGCATGTGGGTCCTCGCTGTGTGATCGCTGCATGCTATGTTTAGTCTCGGCTAAATTAGAGTCATCTACAATTGAAAGCACTAATGTAATTAACGTATGGAACAACAGCATGTGTTGAGCAAGCTATTTAAAGCATCAACCTATGCTTTTCAGGATGATCCTCTTTAAGTAAGAATGGATCAGGCCAGTTCAGGGATGCTGCTATTGTTGTTCTCAGTAAATTAGTCCTGGTCATATCCACTCATGTCTGTTTTAGGCAACCTCAGCCTGTGGACCTGTGTAAACAACATTAGCAAACTCCAACAGACATCAACAGCAATTCAACCAGCACTCGGGTCAGACTTACTGGACCAAAAGCTGTTCTATAGTAGGGGCCAGTGCTTCCCTAAACCTGTAAGCATATTTCTGATGTAGCTAACACTGCCAGAGATGGTCAACATGAGTTTACAGTATTTTCTTGTCTTGGATACTTTATTTGGATAGTCTACTTTAAATGCTTTGTAGAAACATAATTTACTTTCAAGTTAAAATTCAACTAAATATCTACTAAACTGACCATAATTTCCTTTACTTTTAATAAACCTGGCTCTAATTCTAACCCTAATGCTAACCTCAACCCAAAACCTAAACCCAACCCTCACACTGGTCCTAGCCCTAACCCTGGGCTAAATCCTAACCCTAAGCCCACCACTGTTTATAATCAGTTTCAACAGGTAGTTTGTTAACAATTTAAATATCTGTAGATAATCTATAGTGGACTATCCAAATAAAGTGAAACCCTTGTTTTTCTTTTACACTCTTTTTACTGAGATTTTGGTGCAACACAACCAATCAATCAATCAATCATTCAATCAATTAGTATTTAAACTCGACACATTGAGGATGACTTGCATCTGTAATGTAGACAACCATTATAAACAAACAAGAGACTGAAAAGAGTAAATATAATTCTGTATTAATGAAAGAAAATAAATAAAGCATAAAGATAAGACAAAATAAACTTTAGATGCTTTAATGCAAAAAACAGTCATATAGACAAAATTATGAAGTAGAATAATAGAAAACCTAATAAACAACTGAAGAAGATAAAAAAATGAAGACAGTAAAAAAAGAATAAAACAAGTAATAAATAAAAAAGTAAAAAGACAGAAATAACAATAAAACAATGATAAAAATCAACTTAGAAACAACTGAATTCAACTAAAAAAATAAAAAATCAAATACAAAATCAAAGACTTGCACAGTGTTTTTTTTGATAAAATATCTATTCCTGTCAGGAATCTTTAAGTACATAAACATAAGTTATCTCAGGACAACGTATCCTGACCTGTTCCAGTCCCCACACAGTCTGTGGGTCAATCTCGATCACTGCCCCAAAGTCAGCGGCTCACTAATTTACACCATGACTCTGCAAACCTTGCATGCTCCCTACCACATTTTCTCACGGAGATGCATTAGCACTGGCCCACTGCACCTCCCGGAACACAACCTGCCAGTTCCTGATGTGTGAAGCAGCGGATATGTCACCTGTTCCTCGCACTGAAGCTTGCAAGTGCGTCCGCCAAGGACTTCCTCAGCGCTACACAGCGCTAGCATCAATTCACAGCAAGACGGCAATTCATGCACCACATCTTACCATTTCTATACACATACTATCATCAAGAGTTTGCGTCTTAGTTTTGCACTGGAGCTATGGGGCTAATGTATCTAATAAGTATTGGAAATTTCTTGCCGCAAAACAGAATCGTTCAAACTGCATGACTAAATTATCCCAAACTACAGCAACTTACGCACCTTCTGACACTGTATGACATACTGTCATATACTAAAATGTCTGGGCTGACTGGTAACAATTAAGGAGAATGAAAAAATTTAAACAAATTTTCTTTTTTACCAAACGATTCCTTTCAAAGCAGCTCTGATCCCAGATCAAGGCCCTCCTCGGTGGTCTAAGCCAACCGTCACATCATCACTGCTCTGCTGTTTCATTCTGTAATGTCATGATTCACCTTCTACTGTGGCCTACTCTGGATGCTGTGCCAAGCTGGATGTACCGTACCCTAAAGGTGAGGAGCAATATCAATTAATTTTCCTCTTACAGCGCAGATTGTGGTGGGATGGTTTCTCTGCAAGTAATTCAATTGAGGTGAGTCTTACGTCAATGTCAAATTTATGGCTGGCAATCCATCTGAATTTCGCCTGTCGCATCCCATATTACAGCAGATCAGCTTTTAATTGATGAACTGTAATAAAATCATTCTAAGAGGTCAGACTCCTCAGATGTTCAGTGCTAAATGAGCCAAACGAAAATAGTCTAACTCTCCATCCACATCAGTGAAACCTGTTGAGGTAGATCTTTGAAAATCATTCAAATTTGTTCTTGAGAAATGTCCAAAGAAAAGTCTACGTCAAATTCATGATGTGTTCTTAAACCACAGAACTGTTCACACCTTTGTGCTCTTGAGTGTGCGTAGATTCTGTTCTTACCTAAGAACAAATCCCAAATCAGAAAACACTAGTGAATATCAGAATCTTCGTCCAAACTGCAAAAGTGGGTTTTAAGAAGAAATTTCCTCTTAAGAACAGTTGGTGAATAAGCCCATTATTGACATTTTAAACATACCATTCAGAACTGGATTGGCAAACTCTTGCAAAATCTTAGCACAAAGATGATTCTGAAAGGAGTTCGGCTGAGCTAGGCCCAGTTCATACATAGAAATTTAACTGCGAAAACAACCTGTTTTAATTGTTGGTTATGATGTCACAACCATGAACATATTTACATATGACCGCTCACTGAGCCTACAGCTGTCTAGCCCCACGCATTCACACTGAAGTCATGTGGAGTGTTGTTACTGCTGAGCATCTATAGTTATTGTAGTGGAATATGTGGTGAAAATGATAGTTGACCTAACTGAGACACAGTTTTAAAACATGAACTAAGGCAATGTTTTAAACTAAGTTAAAGTAAGCTAACACAGAAAAAAAAACAGTCAAATCAGTTACCTACATTTTTAAGATGCTTACATTTTTTTACATTAGTTTCACATACTGAGCGACAAGGAGAGGATGGAAAATGATCATATAAAAATGAATTGGGCTGGTTTTGGTTCATAAAAAGAAAAAGAAAGGAAAATATAGAATATGGATTCTTTAAAGGGCTCATATTATAGATTTTTCTCATATTTTATTTTGTCTTTCCTTATGGTCCACTTATAACATTTGTTTGGTTTTCTGTACCACAAATTGTTGAAATTATTTTTTACATGACCGTTTTCCAGCCTCTCTTTATTCCTTGGAATTAAACAGGCTGTTTTTGTTACTATGCCTTTAAGAATGATATCAGACAAATGAGCCCTGGTCTGATTGGTTGCCCTTGCTCAAAAAGCACTCAGAGCTGAAACACTCTTTATAACTCCAGATTGAATGGGTGGAGCTAAACTGCTACAGGCTGAATAGGTAGATAGATATAAATGAGCTGGTTCTTGTGACATCACAGAAACAACTCATTTTCCATATAAGGGCTGTATGGACTGGGCAGTGAACTGTACGTTATGAAATGTTTTTACGTATTACATCAAACTCCTTTAAAGCTTGCCTAAAGCTTCACTGTGCTCTGTGCATGAACTCATGAATTGTCTTTTGAATGAGAAGTTTTATGTGCGTATCACATGACCATGACTAGGCCTACATGGATGACTCTCCATCTGGATTTTCGTCTCCCGAAACCATCAAATACAAATCCTCAGCTGTGGGCTCTTTTACATTATGGCCCAAGGTAACATATGACTTCATGCTTCAAATCAGAAAAGCATGGGTTTGAATCCCTCTGTCAGTGCCTCTGCGCTACACACACGGGAGTCAAGTTCCATGTAATAATTTAAGCCACGATTACATTTACCATATGGTGGTGAGAGAAAGTATAGGTCTTTTCACATTTACCATATGGTGATGAATATGTAAAATATGTAAATGCCTCATGTTAAATATGTAAAAGAGATCAAATGAAAGCTTCATAATGTTGTATGTGTGACATGATTTGTGTTCATAAAAATCATTATGCATACAGTAGCAGATTATATTAATGCATGCAACAGTATGTTATTGTTTACACTCATAGAAATCGTTATGTGCACAGTAGCAGCTTATTTTAAGGTGCAAATGCCATTGGCAGTGTCATAACTTCAACACCTAATGCTGGATCTTTCTTCCAGTGTCCACTGTATAACCAAAGCACAGTGAATTCAAAGTTAAAAGAGCTTTTTATGACGCATGTTGTTGTTTGCAACAGGAAACCTGATCTATATGATGATCTATATACTTTTTACGCCACTCAGTATTAATAAAATTATTCCAGTCACTGAGCAATTCCACCATAGCAAGACATATGGACCCACCTCTCTGTAAGCCCCCGATCAGGCTGAAACATGGCAGAAAGAGGATCTGTAGCAGTGGAATGTTTCCGAGGAGCTTCATGCTTGAGAAAGGCTGCGTTTCAAACCAGCTTCAAAAATCCATCCGTCAGCTTCATCTTAAAATCCGAGCTAATTTGTTTCTTTTCAGAAGAGAGGGTTCCCACAGACAGGGTGGTGTGTGTTTAAGTGTGCGTTTGCGGGTATGCGCGTGTAGCAGGCCCAGCCTTTCAATCTGTCACTGCTGCTGTACATGTGCGGTGTGCTGAAGGAGATGGACAGCAGCAGCTGCTCGATATCCATGCAGGGATATGAGGCATCAGAGTCCACAGGAACTGTACAGAGCAGCTTCAGAACAGCAAACAATGCTCAGCTAACACTCACCTCACACAAACCACACATTGCTTCTCCAGGACCTTTACACAGTTAATAATAATAATAATAAGAAGAAGAAGAAGAAGAAAGAGAAGAACTATTTCTACTATTAATTTTACTTTTAATAAGGATAATAACAATAGGAATAATATATTTTGTTATTATTATTGTTTTTATATTAATAGATCTAAGTCAGCAGTTAGAGTTGTAACATTAAAGTGGAACATTTTAAAAACAAATTCTGCAAAATTTAGTCACTGAGATGTAAACAAAGTCACTCAGAGTGGTTTGTTGTGAAACAGTTTGTTGTAGAGAAACATACAGACCTGAATGTCTTCACAGTGGTGACAGGAACCAGGGGTCTCCATATGTACAGTCCAAATATAGCCATTTAATTTACTATCCAAAACCACCAGTGAATCTAAAAAAAGTAAAAGAGTGGCAAATACAGAGATATAAGATATGTTCGAGTACTATTTTGACTTATAATGCTTTGCATAGATCTCTTCATCATGAATGGATTTTGGGAGGAAAAAAAATATCAAAACTTTCTCTCAGAACTTTTGTAAAACAGTGTCTTAGACAAGCAATGTATCTGTATTAACTTACATTAAAAATATATTTCTGTGAGGGAGCTTTTAGAGGCATTAAACTCTTCAGACATCTGGTTCCAATCACCACCACTGTGAACAAATCTGAAGTTTTTCTAGAATGGAGCATTTCACATCAAAACACTCTGAATGACTATTTATGAACTATTTAATCATGCAGAAATTTTATAAATCTAATGGAATTCCCCTTTCAAAAGTAAGTTTATTTGTGAATAGAAATATTTAAGTAAGTAAATAAGTAATTAAGTAAGTTAGTAATAACAACAACAACAATAATAATAATAATAATAATAATAATAATAATAATAATAATAATTTGTATTATCATTATTATTATTATTAATAAACATATGATAACTCATTCATTTAATCTAATTTATAGTCATTTTTTTGCTTTTTTTCTTTTTCTTGCCTAAGCACAAACTTAAAGAAAAGTTTCAATCAAACCATGTGACTAAAGTTTTTATTACTTAATGTATCAACTTAAATCTCCTTTTTGAACAAAACAGCACATAATCCAGTTTTGATTGACATTTGTCTGGGTTTGAGCAACACAAACACTCCAGATTCATTTTACATACCACTTTACAGCCGCTCTTTACAGAATTAAACAGACTGTTTAATACTGTGTCTATGATCTACAAATGTAAATGAGTTCTGTTCTGATAAGTTGTCCTGTATTGGGCCTCGTTCCAAACACAGTCCAGGCTGAAACACTCCTTGTAACTTCACAGAAATAGATGACTATATGTAAATGTATTTGTTTTTGTGACATCACAAAAACAATGAATTGTTTTTGCAGCTTACTTTCCATATATGTAAGGAGTATGTTTTAAGATGTGTTTACTACTATATCAGACTCTTTTAGCTTAAAAAAGATCATTTAGAATTTCCATATACAGGACCAGAGCAAATTCTATGGCAATTTTCTTTATCATATTAAACTAAATATCATCACTGTCTTCACAAAACCTCCTATTTCCAAAAAGTAACTTTATGTGAGAAGGAAAAACCTTAACTTTGAATGGAAGTTAAGGGAGGGAAGTTTTTCAAGCAATATTGGAGCATTTTTGTTTCATTTACAATGATATTTTATAACAATGCAAGCGCACCTGGCATTTTCAAAGTTCTGTTAAAAAATAGGAAACAACAGTGGAGATATGTGATTTTGTCTCAGTAGCAACAATATGTAACACTGATCATTGTAAATATGGTTTATGCTAAAATTATCAATTTGTTTTGGGATTTTTCACTTAAATAAACGAAAGGTTTTTTTCTGTCAAAAGATATTGGAGCAGTTTGTGTAAAGGTGTGTCGTCAGACATTAGACTAGTGTCTGCTCTCCTGTGTGAGGCTGAAAGCTGTAGTTTGTCCTGTATGCAGTTAGTACAGAGCAGGCCAGCTCTCAGTCATAACGCTCATAGCTGTAGCCTGACTGGCGCAGCTCCTGCATTCAGGCAGCCTTTGTGTGGAGGGACCCACCTGTTGCCTGCTGGCCTGTGTGCTCTGATTTATTTTAAGCAGGGGACTGACATTTCCCAAAGTGTTTGTTTATGGCCCCATCCTCTGCTCTTTTGCCTTTTAGGGCCGTAGTGGTGTGAAAAAATAAATAAGGGGCTGAGGCTATTCTGAGCAGTTCAGCGTATGAAATGAAAAACCTGGAAACATTGAGTACTCAGGAAACGCTTCGCTGTGTGGAGTTTCTTTTAGTTGAGTTTTTAGGAGGCTGCGTCTTCAAGGACACTGGGTTTGTATGTGTCAGCAGATCATGTGCTAGTAAAAATATCAACTCTGACTTGCTGTTGTGACACTCAGCATGCTGATGGCTCCGCGAGGGCCAAAGACACGAGATAAAAGCTCCAACACACGCACAGATGCGAAAATGAAAACAAACCTATCTTCATGGGGGACATGCTGATTTCAAGAAGCCGCAACAAAGATAACGCCTCGCCTCCAAAGTGCTTTCATGGCTGAAGATGACTGCAAAGGAGGAAACAGAGCTAGAAGGTTGGAGCAAAAGGGAATCTTGATGTCAGCATGAAAAGCATGGATCTTTTAAAAGTCTCTTGAATCCTTTAAAGGTCTCTTAGTTGAAAAGAAAAATGCTGTAGAGCTGATTGGTGGCAGAACCAGCCTAATAGAAACGAATCTCTGAATCTTAGTTGTCCAGACTTGATACATCTCAAAGAAATGATTCATATTTTCACCTTGCACTGTACATAGTTTGGTGTCTGAAGCTTGATTAATAAAAGTCTATATTAAGTTTTTCAGTTACATAGAATTACTTGTTAGCTACATTAACCCTATGCTACATTAACATCAACTAGCATTACTAGCATTAACTACATTGAGTAGCGTTACATTAGCTACATTGACTCCAATGCACAATTAAAGAACCAAACTGATTAATTGTCATTTTTCAGTGAATTATTCCTTTAAACCTACCAATAGATGCCAGTTAGCAAGTAGCTTAGCATCTACAGTTTACTCTTAAAAATGATGGTTCCTCAAGGGTTCTTTAGCAAAGGGAATGGTTCTTTTTTTTAACCATGGTTTCTATATAGAACCATTTCATGCTCCTATTGGTCTTTGCATCGTATAATCGTTCTTCAGATTGATGGAGAATGTGTTGTATATGGTTCTATGTACAGCCTTTTTGAAAATGGTTCTATACAGCACCAGAAAAGGTTCCTCTGTTGTCACAAGTTGTTACTGATATCATAACAATAGCAGTAAGAAAATAATCAGGAGTTTCCAAACCTGGAGTTCATGAAATAAAAGATACAGAGAGAATGGGGCTTCTAAAAACAATACAAGACCTGGTAGACCACCGAAACAAGATAAGCAGCACTTCAAGCTTTCATCTGTGAGAAGACAATTCACTGTGAGAAGACCATTCACTGTTATTACAGAGCCAATCTCAGCCATTACTGAGCAAAGAAAATAAATGAAAAAGAAGAAAAATTGTAAATCAATCGAAGCAGCTGGTGTTCTCAGAACAATGGACTGTCCACCCAAAAGTCAGACCTCAACAGCATTGAGTGTGTTTGAGATTACTTGGATCATGAGAAGCAGAAAATTCAACCAACTTCTAAGACTGAACTTTGGAGGTGTGGAAAACAATTCCTGCTTAGAAACACTAAACACACAATGTGATAAAAATGACACTACATTTGGTTCTTGAGTGTAATTTTCTGCTGTTTTTGCTGATGTTGCAAAAAAGAATAGCTTGTTTTTAGATTTTAGATGCAAACTGGCTCATGTGACATGTGCCTGCTGGATGCCTAGTATGAGAAATGGATATCTGCACCTTTGTTCCACTGATAATGTGTATCTGGAGGAACAATAAAGTCAGAAAATTATAATAAAAAATTAGTAAAAGATTATGACAAAAAAAAAACTCCTTTGATTAATGGCAGTGATGCCGTGCCATGACTTTACACAGTGTTTCAAAGCTGATACTGAATATGGCCCTAAACCACATTTTCTGATCTTAAGTAAATGTTAAGAAATGAGAAAAATAATAATAATAATAATAATAAAAAATAGATATTGAGTAGTGGTAGTGTGCTTTGTCTTAAGAGTGTTTTAAAGCTAAAACTCAATCTCACAGCACGGCCCAAGGAGGCCTTTGGAAAATGCTAATAAATGTTAAAAAATAATTGAAAAAGATGAAAAATAAGTGTGACTAATGGTAGTTGCGGTGTGCCTTGGTTTAACATGCTGTTGTAAAGCTGAAAGCGAATTTAGACGTGAACCTCACAGAATTTTCTGAGGAGGTCTTCAGTGTATGCTAATAAGCGCTAATCAACAACTTAATGTCAGCTACGCTACAGACAGCTGAGGCAGCTCGCATGTGATGTTCCATCACAAACAGACAGAGATTAATACAGCAGTGTCACTTGGAGTCTTGGCTGCCTCTCATCACACACAGAGCATTCTGCAACACAATATGAGTGAGAGGCACAATGAAAGATTCCAAAGCAGCCTGAAACCTTAGTGTACGTCAAGCTGGCCTTTTGTAAGAGGAACTGGGGACAGAGTGAGGAGGACTGGCCCCAACCAAAGCAGCTGTAGGTACCCTGTGACGCTGATTAGTTTTAACATGGATAAATTTGCATGTGGAATCGAATGCATTGTTAATGACTTAAAGAAGAATGCCACAAAGGGTCATTTTTCCAAAATCTTTTATTATTAAATTGTTAAAATGTAATCAAAATCGGGGTGGCACGGTGGCGCAGTGGGTAGCCATGTTGCCTCACAGCAAGAATGGCCTGGGTTCGATTCCCGGCC